GTTCGAGAGATCACTTACGATTTTAAACAAGACTTTAAATTTCAAAGCGGTGCTTTAAAATGTTTACAAAAAGCTTTAAAAGCATTCTTCGTAAAAGAGTTTAAAAGTAAGTACTTATATATTTATTTACTAATCGATTTACTAATCGATTTACTAATCGATTTACTAATCACTTTTAATAACGAACTTATATGCTATTCACGCTAAACGAGTAACGATTCAAAACAAAGATATAGCGTTAATTAAGAAATTGCGGGAAATTATAACTAGAAGTTTTGTTTAGTAATTTTAATTTATTATAATGTAATGCAATGTAATTATAAAGTATAATATATATGATTAATAAATATAATAAATAAATATAATGATTAAGTAAAATTAATAAATATTCGTAAATTTGTTTTATTTTTAACGGCCTCACATATATTATTTTTAGCTGTCTTACTTTAAACTCATAAGGTTTCCTTATCCTTCGTAAGGAATTTGACTTAAAAAAATCTTCCTTATAAGGTTTAAAAAAAAAAGTCTCCCATCGGCCAAGACCTTATGAGAAGAATAGGAAGGAAAACCCCATGGGGCCCCCACCCCATGGAGCAGCCTAGTTGAATCAAAAGTTTAAGAAAAAAAGAAAGTGATTTAAATAGCGCTAAGTCAATCAGCGCGTATTTATTAGCTTTTAAGTCGAGCAAAGCAGATACTTTATATAAAAGGCTATTCTTAATAAAAGTGACGGATATAATCATAGCTTTACTATTAAAGAGCTTCGTAAGATCGAAGTATCGCATATCTTAAAGCTAGCTTAAGAAAAAGGCTTTGCTTAAGCTTCGACGTTTTTTTTATTATCGAAAGCGTCGAAGTTAATAAAAAAGAGCTTTTAGTAATCTTTAAAAGCGTCGAAGTAAAGCTTATCGTCCGAGTCATCCGAATAAAAGCCGTATTCGAGTCTAGCGCCGTATTCTATTTCGTTAATTAAATAATAGCGAAAGAGCTTTAACGTATTCGGATCTTTGCGAAACGATTTAAAAGTTTTAATCGCTAATTTAAAAGCGTTTTCGAAAGAAAAGAATTTATTAAATCGATTAGATCGATTTGCATTAACGCTAAAGTTATTAAAAGTTTAGCGCTAAAAAGTAAAGAAAAAGACGGAAGCTAAGCTATTTTAGCGGTTTTTATAATAAGTGATTTGCTTAACCGTTGCTCTTTAAGCCGAGCGAGATTCGTTACGAGCTTTATTATAAAAGTTCTTTGCGAATTGAGTATTATACTTAACTTATAAAGCGTCGTAAAGCCTTGCAAACGCGTATTAGCTAGCAGCTAATTGTTAAGCGGCGGTTTAAAAGTCTTTAAAAGTTATAATCTTAGCAAATTCTAAATAAAGCTAATCGCGTAGCGTTTTAATAATCTTAAAACGCAAAGCTTTACGTAATCGGTCCTCGTTTTTGATTTCGGCGATAGCGGCAAGCTTCGAGAAAATAAGATAAAAGTCTTAAAATTGCTAATTAAGCTTTATATAAAGTTTTTCGAACTTAATTAACGCTTTAGCTTTCTTAGCGAAGTCGTTTAAAAATTCGAAAGCGATTTAAACGAGTTTCGAAGCGGTTACGAAGTTGCTACGATCTATAATTAAAAAGGCTAAGAACAAGTAAGCTATCTTTTCGGTTTAGTTAAGGACGTAGTTCTTGCGTTAGCGTTTTATAAAAAAGTATTTTTCGAAAGCTTTTAAATTGTCGAAGACGCGGGCTTGCTAATAGCGTGCTCGATAGCTTATACCGTTTAAGAGCTTTTATTTAAAGTTAAGAATCTGCTCGATACGAGCGCGACTTTAAAAAGCTAAGAAAAAAGCTTTAAAGATATTAAACTTAACTAAAATGCGAAAGTTGATTAGCTTGTAAAAAGAAAGTAGTTTATCGTCGTCGGCGAAAAAGCGGCGAAGGTTAGCGGTTCTATAAGTAAAAAAAGTAGTCTAAAAGACCGAGAGCTTATATAGCTCTTTGCTTTTAAAATTATCTTCGAAAGACATTTAAAAAGGCTTTAACGAACGTTCCGTAGTTAGCAAGACCGCTTAAAGCTGGTCTAGTTCCTTTCGAACTCGACGAGCTTCTTTTTTAGCTTTTTTAGCGAAGGTTTTTTATTCGCTAGCGCTTTTATCGAGCTTTTCGTTGCGGGTTTTTATATCTACGAAAAGCTTTTTAAGCTTAGCGGCCTCTCGTTAAAACTAAAAAAAAGCTTAGTATTAAGCCAAAGCTTTTTCGAAGTTAATAAAAGCCGAAAGATCATCTTTATCGTCTTGCTTATTAATAGCTTCTTTTTAAGTAAAAAGAACTATTAATTAAGCCGTAAAAGAAGAAGAGAGAGCTATTAAAGCAGCTTTAAGAAGTATGCGAAGGATTTTGCCCGCGGAGCGAAAGTTGCTATATTATATAAGTGCTATCTTTTAAGTTATACTTAAAATAAGCCTTTTCGTGACCGTTAAAATCGTTTAAGTATTTTAACGTTTAATTATTAAGGAATTCTAAAAAGAAAGAATATTATTAAAGCCGTTCCCGGCGAAGTGAAATAGTTGTTAATAATATAACGACTTTAAGCGATTACTTAAAAGAACTTACGAGAGCGCAAAGGTTTACATAAAAGCTTAAGAGAATCTTAAAGTAATAATTTAGAATCAATAACTATCGAATATAAAGGTCGAAGATAGCTAAGGTTTATATATACGAAAGTAAAAGCGCTAAAGACTCGTGAACTATAGTTCATAAGTCAAAAGCGGGGAATAAAGGAATACGAAAAATACGAAAGAAAAAAGGAGGAAAGTAGCTTGGCGCATGTAAGGTGCGTCTAGGAGACCTGGCGTGTCGTCACAATTTTTGCTTTCTTTTGTATAATAGTCGCTATCCGTAGAATCGATCTTTAGCGCTTAGCTTAAATAAGCTATTTCTTTAAGCAAACAGCGATAAACATCACGAGATTTTATTATAAGAGCGGCGCAATATCTAGTGAATCAAGCTTTGTAATTGCAATCTTAAATGCTATCACGAACTTTTTTAAAAAAAGGTAATCGTCGTATTTAATTATAATATAAGTCTAAATAGCGTTGTATTCTAAAACCGTACTAAAACCTTTATATTGATGTCGTAAAAACTCTTATATATCTAAGGCAATAGCTTTACTTTGTATATGTTTTAAAGGACTAGCTTTGCAATTTAAGGTAATTGCAAGCTTCATTTGTGACTCTCCGGTATCTCAATCTAGCTATCTTTGCAAGTCTTTTACTTTAATTATGTTGTCGCATTCGTCGATTTTTATAAGTATTAAAGCCTTAGACTTTGAATTGATGTATTTACTAATCTTATTAGACTTAGCAATATTAATCACCTTATCCTTTTATTGTTAATAGTTTTTACTTCTTTTTAGCTTTAAAGCTTCAAGTAAGTTAAGGCTATGACTCGAACTCATCTTCTTCCGACGTATAGATATAATCGTAATAAGTGGTTCGTCAGGTGGACTCGGAAGACTCGGAAGAAAAGGAAGAGGTTCGCTATCGACTAAGCGCGCTAGCGACCTAAAGATCTTCTTTAAGAGAATAGTAAACTCGTTTTCACTAGATGACAATTCACTTTTATTAGCTTCGAAGAAGAATTAAAAGTATACCTTAAGCAGAGTTGCTGCTACGTATAGTAAGCTTCTTACGTCTAGTAGCGTTAAGTAGCGTAGTTAAAAGGGTGATAAAGAGATTCTAAGTTCAAGCACTAATAGTGGTTTCTTTAAAGCAAGCAATTCCTTTGCCGCCTTTCTTTTTTTCGTAGTATATTGCTATATAGCTAAGTTTGCCTTGACTGCAGCTTCCTTTTGCTTCTTGCTTAAAGAACCGCCAGGTTCGGCCTCACTTTTCGCTACACTAGCAAGTTGCAATTGAGAATCAATTGCAAGGGATGCTATAGAAGCGCGTTCTGACGAATCGCGCGCTACGATGACGAATTGTCAAAGAGATAAGGTAAGTATTCTAACACGCCGAAAAAGGTGTTTAAAATCTAGAAATACCTTAGAATGAATTGAATCAAGCTTCGGGGCTCATAACTTATTGCTAGTATCAATCTGATAATAGTACTAAGTTACGAGGAAGCTTTGCTAATATATATGGTTGAATGACTTGTATTATCTAGGACTAGGAATTGGAGGCGAGGTTGTAGTGAGATCGTGCCAAGGCTGAGGTCCGTGCGTGCACGTGTATGTGCACGTGCACCATGCTCTTACCTTACACCTTACCTAGCAACAAAACCGAACCTTCACACCTTTTCCATCAAGGTCACCTCTTTCTCCCCTTCTCCACCAGCCGGTCCTTCCCCCTTCGACATCGCACACAGCGATTCCCGACTCGGCTCACGGATCGATGTGACGCGACAGCCTGTCCGGCTGCTTCCTTCGCTTAGCAGCTCCCTGTAGCGCCTGTCACCTACCCAGCGGCGCCCTGTGGCCAAGTCTACAGATAAGGTAGGTAGGTAGGTAGGTCCCTTGTGCTCTCGCGATGTGTCCCTCGATATCAGGCGCTCGGAACGGAAGTCGCGGATTTCATGTAGTTAGCTGCCAGCTTTCTTTCCTGAGTGAGGGTGCTCGATTGGCAAAAGCGGTGAGCGGAAAGGCTTGCTTGACTGACACTGAGGTGGGTAAGATGATGTCTCCTTTCTTTATTAGCTAGGAATGACTTCGCAGGAGCGTTAGCATTTGCCAAAGCAGAAGCGACAGTACGAAGATGGATTCCGAAAGTGCGTGTTTTATATTCCACTTTGGCACGCACAGGCACGAGATTCGGGAGTAAGAGCACGTCGGTGTTGTTTTGATGAGGTACAATCACGGGACTCGCGGTTCAATCACAAATAGATATCTTGGGAGCTAATTGAGAAGCTGGGACCAGTGCTGCGCAGATACATGTATCTGACTACCCTTCAATCGCCATGGCTACCATTCCTCCTTCGCTTGATCTTCGGTCCACTCGACAAGTGAACGATCTACTCATCCATGTCATGCAATGGCTTCCGGGGCGGCACATCGCCCCTCAGAATCCACTTGTTGAAGTACCAGGGCAGCATCGCACTGTAGTACCGAGCATGCTTCATGACACTCATGTTGAACACCACGTCCAACTCCTCCAAGCTTCTCCCTTTGGTCTCTTGCAGGAAGAAGTAGGCGTAGGCCCACCCGAAGAAGTTCCAGGCAGCATACCAGCCAAACGCACCCTAGAAACCGAGCAGTCAGTATCCCACAGTCCACACGTACAGAGGAGCGCGACGAACCTGTGGCGTGAAGGCATCAACCAGCGACGGCCACGTGAGGGAGAGGATGAAGTTGAAGCCCCAGGTCGTCGCCGTCGCAAACGCCATGCCGTACTCGCGGACGTACAGCGGGAAAGCCTCGGCGCTGTACGTGAACGGCACGGGTCCCTCGCCGGGCGAGTACACGACCATGAAGAGGTAGATGCCCGTCGCGACGCAGGCGAGACGCGTCTTCACCGCGTCGATGTAGAAGCTGAAGCCGACGAAGAGCAGGCAGAGGCCCATGAGTGGGAACGTGGTGAGGAGGAGGTTGCGACGCCCGAATGTGTCGATGGTGTAGACCGCCGGGAGGGCGAAGATCCAGTTGACGATGCCGGTGCCCATGCTGCATGATCCGAAGGTTAGCGAGTGGTCTTGTTTTGAGTATCTTGGGAGTATTGGTCTCAGGAGCAGAGATTTCATGGGTCAAAAGGGGGGGGGGGATGGGGGCTACCGCCCGATTGTCCTTACGAGACGAGGAGAGCATCGGGACGCGAAAAATTGGCAGAGATGAAGATTTCGGTGCTGTAGTAAGCAATAACGTTTACGCCGCAGAACTGCAAATCGAGGTCAGTGGAACTACTTGTGAAGGACATAGCGAAGGATACACACCTGTTGCATGAACATGACAAAGAACGAAGATTGCGCCGCTCGCCTGTTCCGGGGAACTTTGAAGAATTCACTCCAGAGGTTCTTGCCCTCGCGTAGCTTTTCCTCAACAAGCAACGACTTGTGGATATAGTAGACATCCCGTGCAGCCATGAGCTCGCAGTTGCGAAACTTGCAAAGCGCTTCGTATGCCTTTCGGTACTTGTTCTTGGTCATGTACCAGCGAGGACTCTCGGGGACCAAATACACCATCAAGCAGACGAAAAAAGGCGGGATGGATGTACTCCCTAACATCAGTCGCCAGTTCCAGTACGGCGTGTCACCGGGGGTGTATCCGACGTTCTGGAAGGCGACGGAGACGATGAAACCGAGCATGATGCCAAACGCAGTCCACATCTGCCACATCATCGTGAGAGCACCACCTGGAGGAGCATCGGAAGGTTAGCTTATGGCCTCGTCTGACGCTGGTATACACGGTGATTCCCACTTACGTATGGCCGTCGGGGCACATTCTGCGGCATAGACTGGTGTGGTGCTTGATTTTGCGCCAACAGCCAGTCCGAGGGCAAAACGTGAGACTAAAAGGTTGGGCCATGAGTTCGCCGCCGCCATCCAGATACCCTGATTCAAGTCAGCCTGTGTCTCTCACAGGTCGGGGTGTGCAAGACCAACCGTCACGAAGGACACGACGCAGGAGATGAAGATGCAACCCCGTCGACCGAAATAGTAGTTCAGAGGCTTGGTGGTCCAGCATCCGATGGCAGCTGAACACAGGTATGGGGCCCCGTTGAGGAGCCCTCGCAACCAGGTTCGCTCCGGACCGATATTGAATTCTTCAAAGTAGAAAGTCTGAGCGCCGTTGACTGAAGTCTGGTCCATGCCTTGCACAATAGCAGACCCAGCGCACAGAACTGTGTGAGTGCCATATTAGCGAGTGGTTCTCAATATCATGATACGCGGGTGAAGCGCCGATAACTCACTGGTCATGTAGTACATCATGTTGGGCTGAGTCCATCGATGGGTCAGCTCCTTCCTTAGCCACCCCTTTTCATCCTCACTCAGATCTTCGATACTCTCGAATGTCTTCGGGGCTTGTGCCACTAGGGCACCTTTCTTGAGTAGTGGCAAGACGTCTTCGAGCTCCTTCTCCCTGGCGAATGCTTCCACATCGAGGAGAAGTTCCTCCCTAGTCATTCCCGCTAGAGGGTTCTTGAGCTTTAGGGCGATGGGAACTTCGCCGGCATCTTCTATGTTGCCTTCTTTGGAAGAGCTATAAGCGATTGGGGAGATACTGTCCTGCTGGATGGAGTGTTTCTCTGGGTCTGGGCTGGGGTTGGCATTGGGGTTGGGGTTGGGGTTCGAGTCTGACATTTTCCAGGCAGCGTCCCTTAAAGGAGCATCCAAAAAGCAAGGCAAAAACTGTGCCCGGTAGAGAAATGTAGAGGTTTCAGAACAAAGGCTTTCTGCGAGTGAAGTGTACCTCGAAGACAGCGGCGATATCTCGTGGACGGATACCTCGCTCTTAAGTATTCACACTGGCCCCCGAGAGAAGTGGGAGACCATTTCCCCATCTTCCCAAGCTCTTGGAGCTCCACATTACTACTCGGCAACAAAACGAAGTGCGGGCAGAAATCTCTTGGATGCTCGTAGCGTAGGCTTGTGATGCAGTGAAGTTCGGCAAGTTCAAAGTTTTGACCTGATGTCGGTCATGTGAACTCAAAGCCATGAGTTGAGAGAAAGCCAAATGCTGATAGAGCCGAAATACTACCACGTTGTAAGTTCCGTCCGCTGGTTTTATGTTGATATATCTTTAGGCGACGATAACGAGCATGACTGATCAAAGCAAGCTTGCGGGATTTGTATGCGCATCACCGAGTTCGCAACAAGCTGTTTGGAGCGCCCGAGATATGATATTTGAGAAGGGCGGTTCTTAGTGGTCGTGGTCGTGGTCGTGGTCGTGGTCGTGGTCATGGTGTGGTCGGGTCGTGGTCGTGGTCGTCGGCTTCGCTTAGAAGCCTTGCGGTTGGCATTTGGCAGGTGTCATGCTGCAGATGTCGCTGTACTGTAAGTACTTACAGTAGTGTTCCCAGCCACTTGGCGGCGGAGGAGTTCCTCAGAAATTAACGCTTACTCTGTATCGGCCAAAAGGCTTCGGGCCGCTGTGCCGAGGAGCTTGTTTATCCCGAGCTTGGCTGTCAGAAATTGCCCGGGATATGTTGAGCTTACAAAGAAACTTTGGGCGCTTATGGGCCGCGAGCAGATTGGATTGGCAGTCAGTCGTAAGCCATGGATGCTTGCAAGATCGGTATTGGCATGTGTTGACTTCTAGCTAAAGAAGTGAGAAATGCACAGCTCGCTTGATTGGTCACCTCCTGAACTCTCTTAGCCCGGTACACCTCGTGGGGAAGAATATGCGCCGAGACGTGGTAAAGAATCTCATGACCTTATTAGTGTTCATAGAAGTACTGTAGTTGTAGATGCATAAACCTTTTATGGTGAATTTGACCTCCCTCGATGTCCAGCTCTCAAGTCTTTGCTGTATTATGCGCAGCAAAACCCGTCACCGCCACATACCTGCGCCATGCGCCAATGCTATAGCACTGGCCTTCACTGGAGTCGTATAGTCGTAGCTAGCAAGACCTCGGTTCACACTGCTTTCGTTGACAGTCAGCGTCGTCTTGACATCACTTTGTGTCACGAAATTTAGGCAGACGCGTGACCTACTAAACGATAAATGAATACCTAACGCTACGCTGAATATCCCTATGTGTATAATGTATGTATCAAGTATCCTTGCATTGGTTCCTCTCTTCGGATATACTTCGCATCCTACCCCTTTAGTACCCTTGATTAACTTCATGATTCTCCTTGATTCTGCGGAAAACATTCTTCTCGAGTTTTGGATTCAGGCTTTGCGTTGAACGAGTGGACGACGTCACAGGCGTAAGTGTTACACCCTGGGGGTAGGGTAACCAGGGGGGTTAGAGTGGAGAGTTAAACTTTTGAGGCACCCTCAGGCTGTAGCAATATGTTCGATATACTAGTACTACCGGTACGTACGTAGTATTTGGTTACCACGTGTTTACTATGAGAGTAAATGAGAACCTTGTCAGCGAGTCGATTCGCAAACCATGACATGTGCAGAGCGAGTTCTGAGTACTCCATCCGTCACTATTGCTTCGCATTATCATCAGGATCTTCGAGGGGTATTAGTACCGTATCCATTGCTGGCCTGGAGAAAATGTAAAGCTTTTGTCCTCAGCGGAAGTCAATAACCGATGGCCCGCAAGAGCGACAACCTGGCCAATGATACTGTTCGAGGAATTTCCCTTTTGCTATTGAATATCCAGTATTTGAATTGAGCTCTCCAAGTCCACGATGGTTCATGAAATGATGCCCAGTGTCTTACTTATTCTGTATTTATCTTCCCATTCCGCTTGCAGCTCGGCCTTCGCTGCCCTTCTTTGCGCATTTTTCGATAGGCAATTTGAGACACTGCTTGGCTATAGTGTGCTATATCAGTATCACTTACTCATTATCCATGGAGTATTCGATAGCTTTGTTTCTATTCGTCTTCTTTAAGAAAAATCTTTGCAAGACGAATAGATGTACAGAGTATCAAACCAATGTCCATACAAACATCAACCGAGCGAAACCCTTTCAGTTGTCTCTATATTGAAAACACCGCCCTTTGATCGATACGAATGAATTGGCAAGTAGGTACTAGCCATAAGCGACCCCCCAAATCTAACCCTTACTGCCGCTCACGTCGGTCCCTCACGATCACGCCGAAAAAAGTGCTGCACCTTGACGCAAGATTGTTGGCAGGGGCGTTATGATATTTGTCCTGGTGATATTCTCGATGCCGTCCACACCTCTTGCCCATCAAGTGCCGAGGAAACGAACGTCGTCGAACCAGACAGTGCCTCTATTTGTGCGGAGGGTGGATTGGGCGGGAGGCGTCCTGACATCGTACCATTCGGGTCGGTGGCCCCAGGAAGACTAGCAGGCTCGTAGCGATTGTCCCCCATTGAAGCCACAGCACGTAAGTGGACTTTGATCGTGCGCGGGAATAGGTAGCCTGTATTTGTATGTCGTCTAATTTCGAATCTTGACTCGGCCGGAAGTTTAGGGAACGAATGGAATTCAGTTGGAGGTGGCGGTCACGGTCTATTGCTGCCGGCGCTCATTCCGCTCACATTTATGTATAGCGTTGAGACGCTTCAGAGTTTAGTAGAATATTTTGCGAGTGAGTTGTCGGAGCATTGTAAGAGTCCATGCGGAATTGAGGCTCAACCTCCTTCGATGTACATGCAAGCCTGTAAGCTGTCCTGAGGGGTTATCTCTAGAGATGCGCAGCCACAAACCCGGTGATGAGAGTAACTCTAAGTGGTGACTCCACTATGGAAATGCATTCGAGATACTTCAACCTTGATCAGCATGTACGCAGCTCACATCGCGGATCTAAGAACAGCTGTACGCAGAGTATTCCACTGCAAAACCAAAACTTACAAGGCGTGCGGAAGAATTCCGCTAAATGGGCGTCCAAAATCAAACGATCAATGCGTTCCGAGAAAAGAACACACTTCAAGGACAACGCAGAGGCTGAGATTCATGTAAGTAGAATATCGACTATTACATCTAGTTCCAGGTACGGGATTCAGAGCCTTGCTTTGGCTTCCGGAACCCGATTAGATGCGTGTTGACAGGCGTCAAGGGTTCTTCTCCCTTCAACACCGCATCGACGTTCTTCATGGCGAGGGACTCGAAGCCCATGTGTCTATAACTGTCAGCAATAGCGAGCGAAATCTGAACTTCACTCACGTCTCCAAAGTGCCTCCAGCATTATGCGACGTCAATGTCACCAACTTTGACGCTTTCAACCTTTCATTAACACTCGGCTCGTTCTCATGCACATCCATGCCCACACCCACCAGTCTCCCCTGCTCGACAGCATCCGCTACCGCCTCATCGTCAACCAAAGATCCCCTCGCAATATTCACGAATCTACCGCCCTTCTTGAACCTCGCCAATCGCTCTTTCGTGATGAGCTTCTTTCCACCAGGGATCGCGGGCGTGGCAAGTACCACACAGTCACTAATCGCCAACATAGCTTCTAAATCCGAGAAGAACTCGGCTTCGATATCTGATTCCTTAACCTTGTCTTTGCGGAAGAGGTCATAGTACTTGATTTTCATGCCGAAAGCTCGGTAGGCTTTACGAGCGATCTCGTAACCGATGTTTCCTAGGCCAATGACACCAAGAACATTACCACGAGGATTGTGGGAGACGGCCGCCGCATTCTCGTGACAGTCTTTGAAGTCGGCTGAGGAGGTTCTGGCGGCTGTTGTGCACCAGGTCAAGTTTCTGAAAGTTGCTAAGATCAGGAAGAGGGCGAAGTCGGCTACGGACTCTGTTGCGGCGGCAGCACTGGCCCAATTAGATGACATGGATATACTCATGTTTCTATCTCACCTGTTGCAATAAAGGATTCCTGAGACTTCATTCAGCTCCTATCAACGAGGAATGGCGAGAGACTGCTCACCCCGCTCAGCCAGAATGTCAACATCAACCCAATCGAAACCGGCACCAGCCGACGCAAATATTTTGCACGACGATGGTAGTAACGAGATAAGCTCTTTATCCCATCTGCCCATCTCGCCTCCAGTGTTCCAAAATGGACGAAAGATAGCGGAAAAGCCACCCCATCGTTTCTCCTTCAATCCTATCATGAACTCATCTCGCTGGCGCTCTTCAAAAGACGGTCGCACGACGGTGTAGTCCTTGGAAAAGACATCATAGAAATCCGTGTTCCACTTGACTGGATCTCCAATGTGTAGTACAATGGGCTTGGTACCCGATAATGCCATAATGCAAGATTAATGAAGAGCGGCAAGGAATGATGAATAATCACAATTGAAGCTTCACATCGCGAACGATCTGAAGACTACTTGTATTTGAAGCGAAACATATGCAGTATGTTCGGCGGATAAATTGTTCACAGAGACATAGATTTTATCCAGAGACGAACCACATGTGTAGTCCGATCCCTCACAAGGACTGTTGAGACGTGCATATTGTTGAGACGACAGGCGGCTATGGCTTTTGCTACCGAGACGAGGGGTCAGTGATGTACAACATAGGTATGCAGCCGAGACATCCGGTGCCGATTGTTACCCGACAGCTCAGATTACAAGCAGATCGATTTCCCCAACTCTGGAATATCCAACCTAATCGTAATCAGAGGCCTGTTTGATATTCATAACAATAAGTAGGTCGGGATGCCTTGGTATGCCGTCAAGATCACTACGGACGCGCGTCCCGGCCGGCCCAGACATTCTTGGAAACCCTATAATATACAGGCGCCGTGACTCTGGATTCATTCCCATCTGTCAGTGATCGCAACCGCTTCCTGGGGATTTGGTTACTGTAGCAGCAATTAAAGGAAGCAAAATGTCTGCTCCCGGGTCTCCAAAGCCTGGAGCTCCCACGCTTCACCACCTCAGCGTCCGTCCATCCGAAGCTTGAGAACGAGAGCTAATACGTAGCAGGACTCTCAATCCCAACGCATCCTATGGCTCCTCGAAGAGCTTGCCCTCGAATACAAGCTCGAGTATAACATCGTCCTCTACGCCCGCCATCCCAAAACCAAGCGCGCTCCCGCAGAGCTCGCTGCTGTTCATCCATTAGGCCGATCCCCTACTTTGGTCACGGCAGACGGCCGCACCCTCATCGAAAGCCTTACCATCACCAGATACCTCCTCAAGACCTACGACACACGCAACAAATTTGCGGCTGAGGATTGGATTCGCGAGGATACACTGGCCTCTTTTTCCAGCGCCACTTTGTTCCCTCTCGTGACGCAGGAAATGCTATTCGATCTCGCTGCCAAGAGCGTCCCGTGGCCGTTCAATTATATCATCAAGCGGATCAAGAAGGCGCACGATAAGCTCTTCTCGGATGCAGAGTTTAAAAAAGACATGGAGCTCTTGCAGAGCGAACTGGGCGAGGGGGAATGGTTCAATGGAAAGGAATTGGGGATGGCTGACTTTGTGATGAGTTGGCCGATGGATGTTATTGCTGTGAGAGGTTACGTGGATTTGGAAAAGACCTATCCGACGTTATATGCGTGGAGGACGAGGCTTCAACAACGACCCGCTTGGAAGAGTGCGTTGGAGAAGGGAAATCAATACGACTTGGATAAGCTGCTGGGTTGAACCGTATACCGGAAGGCGAACCGCTCGAAAGAATGACTATCAGACGAACCCTGCTTTATCTTAGTGATACGGACAATCAAATGAAGAACTTGAGCGATCCGATTCTTGTCCTCTGTCACTATCGCATCTCTAATGCTCCCTTGATGCATCGTAGTGTACCCTTAGCCTCCCTGCCCACTCCACGCGGCGCCATTGCTCTCCGACTTCCCTCGTCTCTGACAGCCAGCCTCTAAGGAGCTGCAAGACTGGCCAAGTCGCAGCTTCAAATATCATCGACTGGTATCGAACGTTCGGTACCTCGACATGCACAACTCCGCGACAAGTTCCCCTATCCTCGACAAACTCTTGGCACCCCAAGCATCATCATTCATTCTGGTGAGTGAGAATGTCATGTATTCATATGTTGAACCGACCATGGAATCCGTCGACCCTTCTTCGCTTTCCCTCTGGGACATAAACAAGCTATGGCTGCAAAACAAAAAGCCCCGGTCTAAGCGAGCGAGCGCTTACCTACCTTATGGAGCTAGAGGCGGATACGCACTAGATGGAAAGCCTGAGAGCAAAAAATGACTTCTGCATCGCGAAAGGATCCTCATTCATGATTCTCGAACTGGAAACTTCTATATTGGGCCGGTGCTATGGCTAGAAGTGGTCAGTGATGGTGGGCGTGGTGGGTGATGGAGTATATCATGCTCAAAGCATCAGAGTCGACAGACGATGGCGCGGGTATTACCGTGCGAAGTGGGAAGGGAGGATGCTCGGTGGGCTGATGACGGATTCGATGGTCGGTATCAAGATATTGCATCCCCCTCCCAGTCTATTGAGGGTTGACGAGGAACTTTTCACGAGGGGGATTTCAGTCAGTCTACTTCTCAAAGTCGCCCCAAATGCAAATCTGTATCTTTCGATATTGTATGCCGTTCACCAAACTAGTGAACTTGGGACCTAGATGGGTACCACGGGGGGAGAGTATTGGTGAAAATGACGAGGAGGCTTCTGGGAAGTTCGCTACTGGAGAGCTGCTAAGGAGCTTTGCACAGTTTGGGGATTAATACTCGACCTCTCTTATTTCTTGTCCTCGTTACTATCTTCGTTCTTCCTTAGCGCTTCTCTCGCTTCTGTTGCCAAAAGAGATAGCCTATATCATATTGTGAGATGTCTTGCATTGGTGAAAGTTATTGCTTTTTTTTGGTTGAGAATTTGCCGAGGTCATGCCACGACACGAGTTACATTCCCAATCGAGAATGTCGCGAAGCGTGCGACGCGATCCAAGTCTCATTTTTTCATTTCTGTTCTCTTGAGTATTCTGGATGATGCAAACTCTTACCCTCGATTTGATGTTCTGTAACTCTCGAAATGCCGCTCGTCCACTTTCCTTCCTCCAAGCTCCTGCGCCGTCATTTGCTGATCTTTCTACCTTTTCTGCTTCTTGCATTCAGCTACCGTGCCTACGTAAATCAGCAACTGGCATGGGTAAACTCATTTGAAGTAACTCTGAGTTTATCATGGATCTACACGTCGTCGAAGTTCTGGCATTCGTTCGTCCCGATGCTTGCTGCCGCGGCGCCAAAATGCTCTCAGCCAATTCTGACGCAAAACGCGACAGCAACGAATTTGTCCATAAATGAGTATGAGGTGGCAGAATCAATACACATGAAGACGGACGATGTTGAGTGTATGCGTCGATACCACTCCTTGTTCGTGGATCTTGTCAATTTTGGTCCGCCGAAACTGGACTACAAACGAGGGACCGACGGGATTGTGATGGCTGTGGAGGAATCCAGCTTTCCAATTCTTCTCGTCAATCTATTGATGCTGCGGCGAACGAACTCGACTCTGCCGGTTGAAGTCTTCCTGGCCACTCCGAAAGATTATGAGGCGCAGATCTGCGAAGTGATCCTGCCGGAGTTGAATGCGAGATGTGTCGTCCTGTCCAGCCTCCTCGAAAACTCGAAAGACAATTCGAAGAGCACTTTGACGATAGCGGAACACCCACTGAAACTCATGGCCGTCCTGCTCTCATCCTTCGAATCCGTGCTCCTCCTCGAAGCCGACACCTTCTTACTCCAACGACCCGATGTCCTGTTCAGCTCCGAACCCTTTATATCCAGTCAGCTCGTCTTCTGGCCCGACCTTGCAGCTCCAACATTCGCATCTCAACTCTCCAGCATTATCGGACTAAGTAAGGACGTCTCTTTCGAAAGTCTCACGGTTGCAGGCGGCCAGATTCTGATATCGAAGCGGCATCACGCCGCCACTCTGCTGCTCACAGCATATTATAACATCTATGGGCAATTTTACAGCCCACTGCTCACCCAAGGCCGCACCATCGGCAGCGACGACTTCTTCGCCGCGTCATTGGCTCTGAACGCCACCTCTTACACCTTATACGAGCCTCCGCGTCTCCTTGGGCCCAAGTCCAAGTCGACAGCGCGAGCAACGCTTCAACACGACCCGATTATGGACTTCAAGTGTGAAACCCTCAATACTAGCTCCTGCACCGTCACTCCATTCTTCCTCAACTCCAACTGGGCCTTCGACACCACGACGAATCCCTTTGTGAAGCAGCCCTGGGGACGGATGTGGGGTTCGAAAGCAGAAGGACGGATTCTGGGTGTGGACATAGAGGCTGTAGTCTGGGAAGCGCTGGTTGAGGTTGCGTGTGAGCAGCGTCTGGTTTTGAGAGGGTGGCGGAATGAAGGGATGCCGGTCTGTGGGAGGGCCCAGGCGGCTTATCGTGTGGTTTTTGGAAGGGAGTACGAGAGATATGAGATTTAGGGCTGATAATGAGGATTTTTTCCCAAGATCAGAGTCTCGGGCAGACGGACAGACAGACAGCAAACCCAGGCCAAGCGGCTACAATAGAGAGAGAGAGGGTCGTCGTTGCCTGCTGAATGAGATACTTGATGTATGATATACTTGGTGAATCATTAATTTTCGCCTTGAAAGTCACAGAGGTGATGGGAGGGAAGCCTTGCGGTCCTCGGATTTCATTCATTTTGAAACATGCTTCTCTATGTTTTCTAGGAGCCCATGGTTCATTCTGAGCTTCTTTCTGTTATAGTACCATGATTATCATCATCATCACCATCACCACCACCGCTGAAATATATCAGTCTTCGTTCTACGTTTCCCAATGGCTCAGGCCAGATACTACATGCTGCGTTGCATTGCGTACACGGCGTCTGTGGCTAGGGCACCACCGTCGACCTCTCTTTCGGGGTATTCAATTCTTCCGCAGACACTTTGCTTTGCCTGAGGTCTGCCTGAGCCTATAAAATATTCACCCAACCCTCTACTCCACCTGATCTGCCCTGCATCTATCCCATTGGCATCCATTCCCAGGTGGTGACAGCGGAAGTATGATCACGTGACCAATCGAGCTTAGCCGAATCGCTTCAACTTCACCCAAGATCCATCGAACCTTCCAATTATTGGCCAAAACTTAGGCAAGATCTAGAGCCCTCTCTAGGCGACGTATTCATCAACACATGCATTGCCTTGCTAACCGTACTAAACCACAGACTTTTTTATTAGACACTTGAGCACGTTAGAAGCATCCAGTTTTAGCCTTACCTAACGTTTTTCGAAGCAACTAAAGTTCCTAGATGTCATTCAAGATCTAGAGGCTTTCTAGGAGATGCATTGTTTAGTACATCTATTGCCTTGCCAACGGTATTAGACACAGACGTTTTTTAGAGACCTGAGCACGTTAAGAAGCATCTAGTTCTTACCTCACCTGACGACATTCTTCGGAGCAACTAAAGTTAGTAAACTTTATTCTAGACACTCTCTAGGAGATGCAGTAATTGATACATGTTGTGCCTTCCTCGCCAACGGTACTTACCAAAGACAATAGATCTTACCAACCTTGGGTAGGCATGTAACTGCAACCACACCCCAGGTCTCTCGACGCAACCAAACTTTATTCAAGATCTGAAGGCATTTCTTGTAGACCCACTAACGGACACATGCACTGCCTTTCTAATGGTACAGACACATACTAGATAACTTATCACATACCTTATCAAGTTGGGCAAGCATGTAGCTTCAATCGTATCTAGGTCCTTCGGAGCAGTCAAAGTTGCTAAACTTCAATCAAGATCTAAAGCCCTTTCTAAGAGATGCATTAATGAAACACATCCATCACCTTTACAACAGTAATAAACATTAATTAGATACTTAAGGACGTTGATAAGCATGTAGTTTCAACCTCATCCAATGTCCTTTGGACTAACTAGAAAAGAAAAAAATCAGAGCTAGGGCCCTTTCTAAAAGATGCATTAATGAACACACTCATCACCTTTACAACAGTACTAAACATTGACTAGATACTTAAGCACGTTAATAAGCATCTAGTTTCAAACCCATCCAATTTCCTTTAGACTAACTAGAAAAGAAAAAGAAATCAGAGCTAGGGCCCTCTCTAAGAGATGCATTAATCAATAAATCCATCGCTTTGCCAACAGTGCTTGACACAGACTAGAGGCAGTAGCACTTTGGGGCAGCATATACGGATCGCTCATGCCCAGTTTCTTCTTCTCTTCTCTTCTCTTCTTTCTTCTCTTCTTTCTTCTCATCGCATCGACTTGCTTTTACAATCATGACTTCTCGCCAGAACAACCCCGCCGCTGCAGGACTCGCCAACCTCAGCCGCCACTTCAACCTAGCTCGCTTCTTCGAGCAACCTTCTTCTTCCGAGATTCGTCCTCGATCTCGAATTCCTGTCTTTTCTCGTCCTCCGGTCGTCGTCATCCCAGCGACACCATCCACTCTTTCACCAAAGTCTCCCTCTTCCAAGACGGAGGCTTCCATTCTCAAACACGTCGAGCGTGTAAGTAATCCCATTCATCATCCGCATCCTCCTTGCCGCTGTCGGTTGTCGCTACTATTGTCGTTATCGTTGTTGTTGCTGATTGCGACCGTATAGCTTCGCAAGGTTAAGGCCGCCCAGTCTACCTACAAGACCTCGGTGTTCAAGGCAGTGTCGAAGCCCGCCCAGCCCAGACCTGTCTCCCGACCAGCTTCCCGCGTACCCTCTTCATCCTCCTCTTCAGGAGTGTCGTCGTCCTCTTCGCGTTCTGCCCGAACCGAAGATTCGATCAACGCACACATCCAGAGGGTAAGTTATCACTCCAATTCCTCCTCTACTGTCCATTGAGTTCCCAATACACTTCCTCACTATGCATCGCTGTCAATTCACCTTGTTGTCGCTTGCAACCCTCCTGTCGATCTACCTCATCGTTGCTTGCAGTGCTGCTGTCGATTCATCACCACGTCCCCTCTTGCAATCCTCTTACCACGCCTCTACTTTGGCTAATCGCATATGCTAACATCTCATTTCGCAGGTCGCGAAGGCAAGAGCAAAGTCGCCCGCTTCTGCTCGGTCGTCACCCGCGACATCCCGGAAAGTGACGCCAATTCAGCCTCTTCTTATCAAGAAGCAGGCTCGAGCCACCGTCAACCTCGCCGAGGTTGACAACGACCTGGCTCGACTTTCTGTCGCACCCCTCGCAGTCAAAGCCTCGAAGCCCGAGGTCCCTGTCCTTCGATCATGCCTACGGTCGTCGACAGCTGCGAGAAGCACCAAGCCACGCCAAGTGCGCTTCGTGGACTACGGCGGTTGGAACATCCACGGCGTTAAGGCATTCATCCCGGACTCTGCTCCGAATTCTTTCGTTAGCCTTTCCGACGTCGATTTGTTGCAACCGACGCAGTCGGGTCGGCAACGGGGCCCCGTCTACGACGGGAACTATTCTCTGGCCAAGCCAGGCCATGAGATCCGTTGGCCACCCCCAACGCATGATGGCGAGGTTTTCGAAGGATATGAAGGGTATCCCCCACAATCCTGCCGCGCTTGCGCAATGGCAGCCTCCAAGGGAACCCCGACCACTCGATACCACGCCAACATGCAGTCGATCTGGTGCGGTGAGTGTCTTTCTGATCCAGGCAGAAGACCTTACTTCGTCCCAGCTCTCGACCTCGATGGCGATGATTCTCTCGACCGATGCCCCGGCGGGAAACACAATCACCATCACCAAACCTGCCAGTATTTCACGTCTGCCTACAAGGCAAACGTGAACTGGCTCTACGCTCATTACCCTGAGCGCTACGACCAATGCGACGCTGTCCTGGCCGATTGATTCCGCCACGTCTTTCCCTCTGCGTCCGCACTGTCGTCGCTCACATCACACTCTTTTCCCATCGGACTCTTTTCACCATCACCCTCGTTTTCCCCCACCACACTCGTTCCTCTGAACCAGTGACGGGATGGAGAGCAGCTCGCAGGCGGATTTCACCCGGCGTGGTGAGATCCTCCAGCGGGCCTCAGTCTCTCATCCCTCGGGAGCAAAGCAGCTCACAGGAGGGGTGGCATCCGGCGTGGTGAGCCCTCTCTGGTGAGCCTAGGTCTTTGTCCCGTACCTAGGTGCGAAGCATCCCACAGGAGGAGTGGCATCCGGCGTGGTGCCCTCTTCTGGTGGGACTGAGTCTTTGGCTTGGGTCTCCGGTCTCTCAGTTGGGGTTTCGGTTCGTCTCCTGCTCTCCCCTTGCGTTTATATCTCGGCTAATCAAGAAGTCAAGGCCCCCTTCCGCTCGTTTTCCAACACTCGCTCTCCCACACTCGCTTTTTCGGCTTGCAATCCGGGCATGGATTGCCTGCTGCCACCTTCATTTTCCGACAGTCGTTACATTTCTGGACCACATTCGCTTTCCTCCACCGACAACAACCTTGGGCTTGGCAACCCCGAGGTCACAGTCACTACCGACTCCACGGTCACTACCGGCACTGATACTTTTGTATCGTCCATTCACTACCCATTCCACTCTTTCGGCGATGCACGCTTGGCACCGTGCTTCGTCCACTCACCGACGTTCATTTCTCCACTGTCATTACTCCGAGCGATGGTTTTGGGGCAAAATAATCGTCTCCACCTACCAGTTGGCCTTCGCGTCAACATACGTTCACTACCTCACCGGCATCTCTGTCGATCAACACACCACAAACTATCTCTGGGGCACAGAATAGTAATCTTCGAACTTCCGGGTCGCTCTCACTCTTTCTCCAACATTCGTTTGACTACTGGGCATCTTCTCTCGTTTGCAACACGACGTTCATTGAACCCAACACTCTCTCGGTGCCGGGCAGGAGACCTTCTTCATCATCATCATCTTCTTCTTCTCCAAACATCGTTCCGGTTTCTTCGGAGCCATTTCAATCATGCAACCAACTTTCGCTGGCACGGAACCACCATCTTTTTTCTTTTCGAATTCGGGAATTGGGAACCCCGTTTTCGCTTTTCACGCCGTGTCTCTCGACAACCACGAAGGGTACCAACCCACCCACACACCGACTCCTTGCGGCCATGCAGTGGAATTGGCCTTCCGCTGTTCGCATGCCTTGGGGGAGGAGGATCTTGGGGGATTGGGGGGTAACCAACTTAGTCTTGGGGAGGTCTGGATTTCTGCTGGGGGACGGGTAAGGTAGTATTGCCGCGCGGTGCGCTTGGGCTACTCCTTCATCTGATCTCCTTTAGCGCAGCCTTCGGGATAAGCTTGGTCTCGCTCTTCAGTGGTAGTCCACTAAGGTATTGTATCCCCCCCTCCCTCTTTTACTAACCTGAGGTGGATTGCGGATTGGTGGTCGGGGTGGAGGATCGGGGTGGACGGTCGGGGTGGACGCGGGCTTTGGAAGGCCAGGTCGATTCGAACAAACAACAACACCGGTAAGTCCCCACTCTCTCCCAAACATCCTCTTTTCACTGCTAACAACTCTACACCAATACCATGGTACCTGGAAGGATCTCCAAGGGGGGCGAGTGTGGAAGTTGGGGGGATATGGGGGAGGGGATGGGGGATGGGGGATGGGGGATGGGGGAGGGGGAGATGGTCCGGTGGATTTGGAGGATGCTGTTGGTCGGGTTCTCTGTTTTCTTTTCTTGTGTCTTTTGCTCTGGGTCTTCTTCAGACATCCCCTCGCTATACCCAAACTGCGCTCGCAGGTCGGGGACCAGCGCAACCCGGATTCGCAATCCACAGCGTTACATACAATTCCATTGTTCACAAAACCAACCACGTGTCCCACCGCCTTGCTTTCCAGTGCGCTCACTAGATTCGCAGAGCCCAGCAAACAACCAACTGACCAATCGATACACACACGCGGAGACGGGAAAGAGAGAGTCTCGGCGTGGGAAGAGTGAGCGTTAGCTACTTACTGCACCGCCATCCGAGGACGAGGAAGAAGTGATTGCGATTGCGAGACGGGCGAAAAGCTGTGACGCATGTAAAAAGTAAGACTTGTACACTGACTGTTATTATTACATTAGATTACCGACAAACAACCTTGCTTGTGCTTGCTTGCTTAAGAATCAAAAATTCTCTCGGAAATGCCAGCAAAAACAAGGCTCATCAACAATCTTGAGTATTGAATTCATGCGTCCGCCGGGAATCGAACCCGGGGCCCATCGAAGCTGCACCTTCTGATCGCTCAGAGTTGGCAACGATGGATTTTACCACTAAACCACAGACGCTATTTGAAGTTTTCCGTGTCAGCGCCAATATTTTCTGTACTATAATACATTATTTTTTTGGGGGGCACAGGGGCCTGATTGGGACCGGTGCTGAGAGGTGGGGTGGGGCTGGCGAAGACCCCGTGCAAGAATCAAGAACCGCCTCGCGACATCGCAGTGGAGAGCGTAGGTAGTCAAATACTTCTACCGACCCCTTTCAGTTACAAACAAAGTCAGAGAGGCACATGCGCCATCTCCTGCGTTCAGAACTCTACGGCCTAAACAGCCAATTTGTACACGGCAAAGAAAGGACGGAGCGCGACTGCGACGTTCGTCTTGGCAGGATGAAGTCCTAATGGCCATCTCTCTGCATACATGCTTCCATCATGATTATTTCCTGCCGTCGATGGCTTAGTAGATTCTGCAGCCAACGAATCAGTGTGCTCTTCCAACCTATCCACGTGGATTCCCCCAACATCTCGCAGTGGCCTCAGAATATCAGAAAGGAAGGAGCAAGACGGCCATGGTTACCAGGCTTTCTCTCATTAGGTTTAAAATTTAAAAACGTATCTCTCATTTCGAACTCTTGACGTCATGCCCGGTGTCCATCCATACAAAACACCGATGCCGTTACCTATAGACTCCAGCCGAGTTGCCCCCGGCCCCGGCTCCGGCCCCGGCCCCTCCCCTCTCTCTTCCTGGCATCAGAATACTCCAGGCAATGCACTCATTCCACCGAGAAGTGCCAGAATCAGCAATGAATCGATCAAGACATCCATCTATCCACCAAAGCAGACAGTAAACCCATGCTCTCCACCCAGAAACGCGAAAGGATTAAGTAATACAAAGTACTTCGTACACAGCCAAGACACAGGATCCTAGGCTCATAGATGCGGGAAATGAAGAAGAAGCAAAAAAGGCAGCTGATACCCGGCCTTCAGTCACCTTTGCGCCGGTAGTCAGACAGTGACTCCATCCATGCCGCAAAACTCCGCCGTGGTATCTCGCACAGTAAGGAAGGATCAAGGACCATTAAGAAACATATCCATATCCTCATCCGCGTCCCAACTACCCGTCACTGCCTCCTTCTCCTTCTTCTCGTCCTTGGGGCCTCTCTCATCGCCATCTTCTTGATTCGTCAATTCGTCGAACATCCGCGACACACCCTGGCTACTACCCGCAAACGTTTCGCGCATCGGGCTTTCGTTGCCTGGAGCAGGACCTAACGCGACAGAGTCAAGTCTGCCGAAGGCCGCGTCGTTGAAGATACCGGATTGACGCTGCGGGCCACCGAAACCGGGGCTTTGCATGCCGCCGTGTAGGAAGGCGTGCGGTACGAAGGCCGGGGAGGCCGTGGAGGGCGGGCTCATGCTAAAGTGCGGATCTTGGATACCGGCGAAGCCACCGTAGTGCGTCGGATGAGCGTGGTCGTGAGCAGCTGAAATGCCTGAGATACCCGAGAGGATGGGCCCGCCATGGGGATGCATGGATGGTTGGGTGGGGAAGCTGTGCACAGTGGGTGTATCGGAGCCAGAGCGGCCAGGAGCAGGCTGCAGAGTTGGGGGCCGCGTTGACGGCTCGCTTGACTTGCGGGCCTTGATACTGTAGGCTTTGGTGCGGTATGCCGGGGGTAGTTGCTCGGGATCATCGACACCATGTTGAGCCATCAGCTTTTGTAGCTTTGTTGGGCGGGGCTTTCGGGTAGACTTGGAGACCTCGAGGACGGGCGGAGGTTCGGGCGCAACGGGGGACCACTTGTGAAGCTCTTGGCGGAAGAAGTTGGTCTCGAATGAGAGGAGAATCTCGGCGCCTTCAATCTTCCGCAGGTAGAAACGTTGAGTCTCGCATTCATCAGCGGTGGCCATCACAGGGTTACAGAACGGAGCCACATGGGATCGGAATTCTTGCGCGTTGTCGATGATCTTCATGAGGATTTCCTCTTCGTCAGGTTGAAATGGAAGGCCAGGAATCTCATCCTGCCAGGATTGCAGATCCTCAAGCTTTGGCCGGGCAGCGTCACGAGGGATTTTCACACGCCAGTCGCAGATGGGGCAGGTGTACTTTTCGTCGTCCTTGACCTTTCCGCGGGCGATCTTCAGACATTTACCGTGGTACCTAGTCTACATTAGTATTGTGCTAGTATCATAGCGATGGGGCTCTTACCATTCGTGACACAGCTCACACTCAATCATCATGCCAGCTTCGATGCGACGGCAGATGCAGAAGACCTCGCGGAATCTTGGATCCTCCCAGCTATGTAGCTTACCATCGACAGGACTCGGCTCCCGCGAAGCAGGCTCTGCGGGCATCCGAGGCTTATCCGCCTCGATGTCGAAGCAATCAACGTTTCTCTCCAGGACATACTCCATATGAGACTTGAGGATGTGCAACGGAGCATTGGCCTTTCCGAACAATTTCTTGCCCTTGCGCATCCAATCTTCATGACGCTTCTGTTCCTTCTCGAGATCAAGAGTGCCACTGGGCTTACTATTCAGCTCTGCCAGACGCTCCATGGTCTCACGAACCTCGGAGTACTTCGGACGTCTCGCAAAGTCTCCGTTGCGACTTCGCTCATAAAGGGATAAGATTTGTCGGTGAGCCTCACGCTGCTTGTTGAGAATTTGATCAACAGCAGCGAGCGTCTCTGGAGAAACAGGAAGTGCCGCGGCTTGAGCTTGAGCGGATAGAGCTTCGAGTTGAGGGTAGTGGACAATTTCGGCGTTTATGAGTTCCTTGGCCTTGGTTTCCCAAGCCATTCCTGCGTCACGTTGTTCTTTGTAATGATTGAGGTAGTCATTGTAGATGGGAACCTCGAGCCGCACACCCTCCTCAATTATATCGTGGACTTCCTTGAGGCTGAGCGGAATGCCACGGTGGGCCAATGCGCGATCATTCCACTTCATTTGCTGGACGATCTTGTCAAGCTCGTCAACTTCCCAAAGGTCGACGTTGAAGGAGCGGCCGAGCTCCAACAAGTCCTCGAAATCTTGAGTCTTACGCAGGATGACGTTCTTGGTTGCTTCTTGCGCATCCTTACGGAATCGCTTGATAGCATTAGCGCGGTCGGTCAATTGGGTGATCTCAGAGCATTCGAAACCCAGCCTTTTAGCTTGCTCGAGTAACTTGATGATATTCTCGACTTTACGGTATTCACGGTCGCGCTCCTCCATTTCAGCAGCCTTGCTACCCTTGCGCCAGGCCTTTTCGTTCTTCCGCCGATTTTGTTGCTTTCGAACAATGTAATTGGTTGCTTCATCGACCCATTCATTACAGCGCTCGACATAGGCCTTGAGCCCTGGCAAACGTTCCAACTCGTACGGAATCTTTTCGCCCTCGTGGACCAATGCGCGCATAGTCTTCAACGATGGCTTTGCGCCTTCTTCGAGAGCCTTATCGACCTTTGCTTCCCAGACTTCTGGCAATTGAGCCTTGTCTGCAACCTTGTGGTAGATAGCGTCCATAGCTTCCGCCGTGCGTCTGTAGTACAGAGTATGGTTGTTTCCAGCGTATCGTGCCTCCTCAGGTTGGTCGCAGCACTCGTAATTACCAGCATGGAGAATACACATGACCTTGCCGCTCCCGTTGCACCTGAATCTCGAAAGGTATGCATACGACTTGCAATACGTGCACATCATGTTTTCTTCAGAGACATCCTCTTCGTCAATCGTGAAGCCAACGTGACAACGAGGACCGGCGCCTTCGACCACATCTGTGACCACACAAGGAGCTTCGTGGTCCTCCCTGTGCTTGTCCATGAATTGTTTTCTTCGGGAGATTTCACGGTCTCGCATGCGCTCGAGGGCTGGCGCAAGCCACTTGGCCGTTGTGATTGTAACTCCACCAGTGGCAGCGCCTTCGGCGGCTGTCCACAGAAGCTCATCATGAGAGAAGCAAGGCTGCTTTCTGAATTCCTGCAATCGCTCAACACCAGCATCACCAGCTGGCTCCCAGTCGGTTGGCGCAAAGTTCACAGCTTCGTTAAAGTTGAAACCGTGATTGAATCCTGCATGATAGGCTTGGGGAAAAGTGATCACGAACTGGCCAGCTCTTTGGTCTAAGGCATAGCATCTGACGCCCGCCTTCTTCAATTGCTCGGGGGTAAGAAGAGTGACCAATTGGAAGAGCAGATCCGGTTGTGTCTCGAATAGCTCGGGGACCGCATCACGCATAGCTTGCTCGAACTTCTCGGCATCTTCCCCCGGAATCCCATACCAAGTTTTGGTTGACCCAAAATGCTGATAATTGGCCGAGTAGGCATAGTGGTCCTCGTTGTGCCAACAGAAGGTGGAGAAGATCATACCAACGTAGAGCCACGGTACGGTCATGCCCGAGATATCCGACTTGATATGTCTGAAAAGCGAGTCGGCATGGAGTGGCATAATGTTGAGGTTCCAAGGATCGGTAGAATAGGGGTCTTGGGGGTTCTTTTCGATCGTTGGAAACCCGCTTCCATGTGTAGTTGAGTGGATGTCAGCTCCATACTCTACCTCTACCGTCTCTTCCAAGCTAGCAACGAGACGCCAGAATTCTCGCTCGATGTCATCCTCGGTGACTGGTCTCGGGCAATTCAAGACGGGATCGAACGGCATCTTCTTGTGGAAGTAACCCTCCTTGAAGTCGGCGGCCTTCTCTTGGAACTGCTTCAGCGAGTAGATACCACCTTCTTCGAAACCGAACTGTCCATCGCCGACCAGGCATCTGGGGCAGTTCCAGTCGTAGTCCGGCTTCTGCGCAACCTGTGGATCAAGACAGTGCATGTGGTAGCCAAGGTCACACGAATCGCAGACCAGAAGATTTCCCAAGTCGTCGTTCTTTCCACAGTTTTCACATTTCTGAGTAATGTTTAGGATCTTATTTGGTAATGATATGGCAGTGTTAGATTCGCTTACCTCACCGGGAGCTGATGAGCCATGTTCGCCGGGTATTCGTGGGGGAGTTGGACGGAACAGCGTCATGTGAGATCCAGCCACAGTTGGCACTGCATCTGCACGGTTGACATTCGTTAGCAGGGTTGACATGGCCAATCGCAGACAAGAGATAATATCTTGGTGTGTGCATTGAGATGCAACCCTGACACCACATCGCCGAGGAGTATAATTCGGCACAATGCCACACCAAATAGCAGGGCAAACATCAGATCAGGCATACCTTTCTTCAGGCGCTTGCTACGTCTTCCTCCATTGTCACTGTCTTCAGGTGGCTGGCTGCTACCCTTTCCTCGGGAGTCTAAGCTGTCCACGCTCATTTGCCGCTTCAAAGCCGGGTTAGATCCCAAGCCATTAACGGGTCCAGTTACAACTGGCGCAGAGCTCAACGCAGAAGGACGGTATTCTGGAGTTCCCTTGGCTGATATCAGCGGGCTGTCAAATGATCGCCTGCCGGGAGTGAAATTGCTCTCTTCACGTTCTCTCCGGACGTTGACAGGTGCAAATGTCGTTGGAGCACTATTGACAGGTGTGAAGCCACCAGCGTTGACGGGAGTAAACCCCGAAGCCATCGGTTGCGGCGGGGCGGGTGCAGGAGAGTCCAGTCTGGGGATGCTCTTCAAGCCCTTCTCGAACTCTTCCTTCATCGATGCATTAAGTGCATCTGAGGCGCGAATGGCTGGTGATTCTGGTCGGAGACTGGAGGGTGTGTGATGGTGCGATTTCTTCATGGGCGAGCCGGCCGGGGAAGGGCTAAGAGGACCACCGTACTCATATTCCAGTTGTTGGTAGACACCAGGCTTCGCCAGTCGAAGGTACTGTTCGTATGGGTAGAGCCAGCGCTGGTACGAGTTTTTTAAAGAAGTCGACAGGGAAGACATGATCTTTCCGCTGTAGCCCAAGTCTCTTCCAATCTCGGCCCATTTCTTTAGCTTGCATACCTTCTCAAACCCACCTCTGGTCTCAACAGCCTTTTTCAATTTGTACAAATCTAGAGGCCGTTTGTCCACGCTGGGAAAGCGATTCAGGTTTGTGCCATGCTGCTTGTGGAATTTGGCCAGTTGATCGAGATATGTTATATTTGCGCGGGTGCCTGGTTTGGTAGATTAGGTCTACACTCTGTGGGAAGTCCAATGGTAGGCGGAGAAACTCACTTCCTTCGACGGAGTTCAGCTCTTGCTTTCTTGTACGGAAATGAAATCGCTGCGAATGTTCAGCATTTCCCCTTGAGTGAGGGAACTCAACACCCCAACAATCGCATAGATAGCGATCAAGGTCCACCGCTCAAAGATCTGCGGACCAACGTGGTGGTACATACCTCAGTGTCGATCGCAAAGTCGGGCTTCCACGAATCCGGCGGGATAATCTTGCAGATACCATACTGGCTCGCCTCTTCCGAGATCTGCTTCATATAGGCGAAAGGATCCTTGAATTCCTCCTCGGTTGGCCTGTATGTAGGAGCCTCCTGCAATTGATGTGGTCGAATCTTCTTGGTGGCCTCTCGGCTGGCCGTAGGTTGTCCCCTCCTCTCAACGCTGGTCAGATCCAGAGGGAGACTCTTCATCGCACTGAGCGGCAGCTGAGCGGCGGCAGGATTGACGGCTGCTGTGCCATTTGCGGCTTGCTTCATCCGACCTGATGGTGTATTACTTCCAGCCGCCGGGGAGGCAGTGCCCATGTTCGAGCTCGCAGCCGTCACGGTCGTCGGTACCTGCACCATGGTGGCAAGAAGTTTGGGGGGATGTTTCGTTGAATGCAGATTTTCGCAGAAGGAAAAATCTATGGTATCGACATCGAAGGTGTATCGTTTGACTAATGGTCGTGGCAGACCGAGAGGGATATGTTGGTTGAAGACTTGGGCCTTGTTCCCCTCGTAAATTGGGACCGACCAGCTGCCCACAAGGCCAAAGACAAGGAAGGAGATGAGATGCGCAACGTCAGATGTGGTCAGAACATCGTGATCTGGCGAGATGTGTGGTGATCGATCGAGTCAAAAATTCGGTCGGTCTGTTGGTTAGTTGGTTGGTTGGTTGGTTAGTTGGTTTGGTTTGGTCGGTCGGGTAGTTGGTCGGGTCGGTATCCCAAAGAGAGTGGTGGTCGATGATGTGCTATATCTGGGTATAGGTATCTATCGTAGCCCGGGTGGGAGGCGGGTGAGTAGGTAAAGGGTAGCATAACCGACATATTCGCTCTTACGGGCCTAGTTGGGCTGGCTAGCAGCAAAAGGCGGTGCCTCGACTCAGCCAAGCACCACATCCCTGCCAACGTCTGAATCGTGGGGAAGGGAAGGGGTGCAATTTTGGCATGGGCGGTTCTGCTCTGCAAATAGGTACAGACAGTACAGTGTGATATGGTATATAAATATACGTTGATATACCGGTACATACTCATCTATTCTACGACGATTGCGGGCCGCTGCGTGCGGTGTGTGGTCTGTACCTACATACAGATAGATACCGACCCCCTAGATGGATGGATTCTGGACTCTCCACGTGACCGGGTCGGTCGTGCAATTTCCAGATCGAGTTCGTGTTGGTGAGGAGGTCGGTCTCCTACAGTGAGTGCATTACCAAAAATCGTCGGTCTCGTCTGGGTTGGGCAATTCTGATGGAACGAGTGCTGCCCCACCCGGCGGACCAAAGAGATTGGCACTAGCCGATGGATGCACGAATCAGCGATGGGATGTCGTTGGAAAAGTGGGTCCCCCAGACGGCTCTCCTCATGCCACCGCCGGCCATCGGAACATCCGAGCTGAGCCGAGCAAATCATCACCATCCCATACCGGTACTTACCTTGGCCCGTTCTGCGGCTGAAAAGGAAAACACCACAAAAATGAATGACTCGGAATGAAGAGCAGTCGGGCATAATCATGAATCTATCTGCTTTCAGATTACGGATCAAAGAGATATAAAAAGAAGAATCCAACCAACAATTACGGTACGCACAGAGGGCAATGGATGTCAGTCATGCACTACTTCGTAACCAGCTACCGTAGCCCGGCCCCAGCCAGTGGCGGTTCATCACTCCACTCTACGCGGTAAAACGTGACCAAAACCAAATCAACCAACGCCACAACAACTTTAACTCCCCAGCATCCATCTCATCACAACCTCCAGTAGCGATGGCCATCGACCGCCCCATACCCGCATTTTACTGCTGCTACCTGCTGCGGTCCACCGTTCGCGGCAGCAGTGTCTATGTAGGCTCGACGCCAAACCCGGGTAAGGCCACCACCTTCTCTGGTCAAGAGCGGAAAGACACAGGCATATATGTGTGTGTATATATATATATACACACACACATATATATAAAGGAGGACGTACTGACAAGCATTGCAGTGAGGCGACTTCGCCAACATAATGGCGTTGCAAAGGGAGGTGCCGTGAGGACGAGCCGGCAGAGTTTGAGGCCGTGGGCGATGACTTGTATCGTTACCGGATTCCCCAGTCATATTGCTGCGCTGCAGTTTGAGTAAGTGGAAGTTGGTCCCCAACAATTCCATATCAGGTGATACTTATATGTAGTCAGTCACCTGATTGGTAATACCTGAGAGACTACCCGGTTCGATCTCAGCATAAGTAGCATGCTGGCTCATTTCTCATCCACACATCACTGCTTCCAGGTCACTTCTAACAAACATCACTCTTAGATGGGCCTGGCAAAACCCTCACATCACGCTACACATCCCCCCCTCTGCTCGCATCCAGCACGCCGCCGGCAGAAAGAAGTCCGGCCAGCCCAAGCGCCCCAAACACACCGTCGCATCCCTCTTGTCTAATCTACATCTCCTCCTGCGCGTCCCCTCTTTCGCTCGCTGGCCCCTCGAACTCCGCTTCCTCTGCCCAGACGTCTACAAATCCTGGCTGAGATGGTGCAAGGCGGCCTCCGAACCCGTCCATAAAACTTTGACCATAGTCACGGATTTCCCGCCAGAAGCAGCCGAGGAGGTGGAGAGCGAGGAGGACGAGGGTGGTGGGAAGAGAAGGAAGAAAAGCAAGGCAAGCTACGGGATCGAAGCCTTAGATGTGGAGTACGAAGATGTAAAACAACAGGTTGAGAAGGGGAAGTCGGTTATCGATTTTGAGCGTGAAGGCTCTTGCGCCTTGTGTAAGGAGGAGCTCGAGCACAGGGGAGGCGTATACGCGATCTGCCCGAGTCTCGACTGCGAAGCTGTGTCACACTTGACTTGCTTGAGCAGACATTTCCTGGGGGAGAGAGATGAAGAGGACGAGGTGCTATTGCCGATCAAAGGGACATGTCCAAGCTGCAAGGAGGATTTAAAGTGGGCGGATGTTGTTAAAGAGTTGACATTGAGGATGAGGGGACAGAAGGAGGTTGAAAAGTTGTTAAGAGTCAAGAGAGTCCGCAAGACGAAAGCCACGGCCTCGCAACCTTTTATCGAGTCAGAGGACGAAGACGATGATACTGACGACGAGATTAGCGAGCATGAACCCGATGAGGAATTAAGGGGGGTAAGTGGAATGCAAGCTGGCGCTAGTCGACCGGATACAGAAGTGGGAGATACTTGGCACGAAGTCGACGACTCGGAGGAATCCGACACTGGCTCCATCGCGAGCAATATCTCTCAAGGCCAAAGCCAAAGCCAAAGCCAGAAACCTACGTCTTATCAGGCGAATCAAGCTGGGACGCTGGGCACCGTCATTGAAGATAGCGAATGGGACGATGCAGACATCATCGAGTGAATGATAAGAACAAGGCGGTATTCTGTTTCACGTCGCGATTTTGGTTTGTCCTATTAATGTAGCGGCTTTATGTTAGGAGGCCCGCGAATGCGAAACTCGGAGTGAATAGAAGGTACGGAGTAAAGGCAGATGACAATCAGAACGCGGACATGCTAGGTATATATCACAGCGGCGACTCGGCGAAGGATTGCGGAACAGGCCAAATCATAGCGTTCCCCTGAACCAAAAACAGATATCGGCCCTGTATCAACGCGCCCGATTTGAAAGTCCGGTCACATGATTGTTACTGCAGGAATACAAAGTCCCGGATGAAACGGCACTTGCAACAACAAACCCATTGGCTTCACTCCAATCTCGAGTATTTTTTTTCATGTATTCTTGATACATACATGATATATTTTTTTTTTNTTTTTTTTGGTTTACACAGCTGCCCCAATCATCTACAACTCATCCCACCTTCCACCGGCCCCGGCTCTTCCGAGAGCTTGTCGTGCAGCGAATCCGGCTTCGGCGCTTACTATCGGATGGAGGGATCCAAGATCAAAAATCAAGTTCCTCTCGAACCCCTCGGTGGCATCTCCCCCACCTCCCAACTCTAGCCTATTTATATACACATCTATCCATTCGTACTATCCAAAATCAACAACACAGGCCAATCTCAAGCTAGAGAATCCACAGAAGGAAAAAGAAAGAGAAAAAAAAGAGAGAGAGAGAGAGTTCCTGCCAAAAAAAAAAAAAACAATGGCGCCAGTCACCCTCCCCGAGCCATTCGCTAGCATCCCGAAATCAGACTTCCTGTTCGGTCCGTCAGCAGTCCATCACCTGCCGAGAATATCAGAGGCCCTGGGGGGAAAGGTTGCCATCTGGGCGAAGAGAGAAGATTGCAATTCCGGAATCGCCTTTGGAGGAAACAAGACGAGGAAACTGGAGTTGGTTTCCCCATCTCCCCCCCCCACCCCACCTTTCAAAGGGCGGAGCTGGCCCAAGATGCACATTTCAGCATGGCTGACACGATTACATCCCAGATATCTGGTGCCCGAGGCTCTTGCGCAAGGATGTGATACTTTGATCAGTATCGGAGGAGTGCAAAGTAACCACACACGACAAGTGGCCGGCGTTGCGGCGAAGCTGGGTCTCAAGGTGAGTGGAGTCTCCGCCCTTCCATATGACTGCGTCTTTGGAATATATATATATATATATATATTTATTATATATATATTCCCCCGTAGATCATGCATACTGAATTTTGCACGGCTGCGGTTAGGCGAAACTGGTGCAAGAGCATTGGGTCGACTGGGCGGACCCCGGGTACGAGAAAGTCGGCAACATCCAGCTCTCCCGCCTGATGGGTGCCGCGCCCCGTCTGGACCCCTCGGAGTTCGGCATCGGCCACAAGCAGACGCTCGCGAACCTTACCAAGGAGGTCATCGAGGAAGGCGGGAAGCCGTACTACATCCCGGCCGGAGCTTCCGACCACCCTCTCGGAGGCCTTGGCTTTGCACGCTGGGCGTTCGAGGTTGCGGAGCAGGAGAAGGAGCTGGGGGTCTTCTTCGATACCGTGCTGGTGTGTGCCGTTACGGGCAGTACCTTCGCCGGTATGATCGCCGGATTCAAGCTTCTTGAGAAGAATGGGGCACCAAAGAGGCGGGTGATCGGCATTGACGCTTCTGCCAAGCCGAAAGAGACTCGTGATCAGGTCTTGCGGATCGCGAAGTTCACAGGTGTCAAGATTGGGTTGAAAGACGAGGATATCACTGAGAAGGATGTCGAGTTGGACGAGAGATATCACGATGGGTGCTACGGTATTCCCGGGGAGATGACCAAGAACGCCATGAAGTTTGGTGCTGAGACAGAAGGGTTCATCACTGACCCCGTGTATGAGGGGAAGAGTCTGGCGGGAATGATGGACATGGTGAAGAATGGCGACATCAAGGCTGGAAGCACCGTCTTGTATGCGCATCTGGGTGGACAGTTGGCATTGAACGCTTACTCGGGTCTGTTCGAATAGGGGTGCCAAGCGAGGAACAAAAGAGGCATCCAACTCTTCTTCAACCCATCATTCTCCTCGAGATATCGAAGACGCGTATGAGTTGAGGCTCCAAATATATTCTTTCGTGTCTCAGATACGCCAAGCAGGATAAGGTTCGAGTGAAGCTCAGCAAGTCTCGGTCGGAGAGCGGCATCTTGGTACTGTATCGGCCCGAAATCATCGGCTTTTGCTACATGCAACAAAACTGCAGCGAAAAGCTTGTTGTACGCAGCATCTCAAGTCTTTAGATGAAACAGAAACTGACGTCGACGTCTGCTCGTGGTAAAGAGAGTACCATCTGGGAAATCTGGCGTGAATTGATCAAGTGATGAAGGTTTTAGTCTCGATATCAAAACACGAATTTTTCAAAATGAAAACAGCTGACAGGAATCATGAAGCAACAAAACAAAGACGCCTGAACTTGATGATAAAAGTAAAAATAGCTCCGATGGACCTCCTATTCGCGATATCTTGGCACCTCGCCCGAAATCGCCGGGGGGGGGGGGGGGCATTTAGGGGGTGGACCTGAACTAGTGCTTTCCCTTCTTGAGAGCGCAAATTAGTCTGCATTCAACGAATAGAAAAAAGAAAAAAACTGATTGGGTCTCTGGACCTTAGATGGAATGAGGTACAACGCCAACACTAGGCTTAACACCAGGAAGGCCATCGGGCACCCGTATGTGCCGATTTGAATTTGACAGAGCACTATAGCTTACCGAAGATGACATGCCCAAAATAAAGAGAAAGAGGCGCAACATCTTGCAGCTGGAGGGCCCAAAAGATTCGGTCCGGAAGCACTCACGGAATGGAAGGGAATGTTGCTCATATACTTCTGGCAACAACAACAGCAACAATCAGCGAGGCCGACGAGAAGAGACGTCGAGAGCCCTCCTCGTCACACACTCCTGATGCTTAAAAACCTGGTTCGCTTGTTCCGCCTTGATGAATTCGTCCACTCCTGTTTCGAAAAACGGTGGGTGTCGGTCACTTCGTTCCGCTGCGGCAGCCGCGCGCATAAATCGACTGCGAAGGGGAACCTGTTGGCCTTTCGTCGCGGAACTGCATCGATCCCGTCCCGTCGAGGGAATATGTTGGATGAAGGCCGAGAGTCCTTCAAGTGCTCTGACGCCGCCGGGTAGAATAACGTTCTACGACAATTCGATCACGTTCCTTGAGTGAACGGTCGTGGAGAAAACGTTTGTTGGTATGGGAGAGGCATCCCAGAGAACGAGGAGCTAGGGTGTAACAGCAGGGATGGGCTGCGGTATGGAGGAGGCGAAGTTAGAGAGTGGTACGGTACCGCTACACACCAGCGCAATGCAAATGGGGAGGGAACAGGAGGTGCACGTGACATGGCGGTTTTTCTGCCGCTGCCCACCATGCGATTTGAGATAGAGGGAATTCGTTGAGAAAGCATTCTAACCAAGATCTAATCTAGTATGTTTGGTCTGGGTGGTCAAATTGTTGTGCAATATTGTTATCCAGCAACGGCTATAGTTGTGATCACGTTGCCCGCTTGAGTAATATTTTTTGCTGTACTAATATTCAATTTGCCTGCGGGTCTGTATCAAACAAATAGCGTCTGTGGTTTAGTGGTAAAATCCATCGTTGCCAGTTCTGAGCGATCAGAAAGCAGCTTCGATGGGCCCCGGGTTCGATTCCCGGCGGACGCAAACAATGAGGTGGTTGACTACAGACATCTCATTTTGCTGTGCGTATAAATGATCTTTTTTTGTGTATTTTGAGCGAGGTTAATTAACAACCCGGAGGTTTTTTTTTTTTTCCTTCAATTTATTGGATATGTATCAATTGCGCATCTAGTACGAAACTTGTTGGACTGGATAAAGCCATTTTTCCTCACGATCAGTATGACAGGCTACACAGATTCGTTAAGAGCAACAGCGCCAAGGGGCTTCGCATCAGCGAATCCCCGTCTACACCCAGAGCCATATCAGCACGGAAGGGTTGACAACTTCGGATAGGCCAGCCAGGAGTCATCGGAGACATCACAGCACCCCTCCCGCCCGCTCGCCTTGTGAAGCTGAGATGGCTGGTGGTGGGGTGGGCGGCGGCGGCGTCGTAGCAGGCAGGAGCCGCTCTGGGGCTACTGTGGTGCACCTCAGTCTTTGATGACGGGCCTTTGGCTTTCAGAACAGGGCTACCGTTCGTCATGTTAGCTAGCTACTTGATTCCTGTAGTGCTTGCTGATTGTGACGCCTCGTGTTTTCTTCAATGGCGGCCCGTTCTGAAGTGTGATGGTTGATCCTCGCCTGGTTTTCTTGGGGAGTCGGTGTTTTTGAGTGGCCAGTATACCAGAATACTGTATCGCTGTGTCGCTTGAGTCTGTCCGAGATTTCCGTGTGCTGCTTCGTCGTTGGGAGAAGTGCCAGTATCGTTATTCTGTTCGCGTTTCAAGTCTGCACACCAAGACCTTATACAGCCTTGCAGAAACGTTTCGCGTCTGTGTCTTTTCAGTTCGTGTCTTTTAGTTATTGGCCGGTTTTTCTCGTCCAGTCAATAGTTACTTGTTGTACAGGAAATCAAAACTCGCGATTATTGACAGCATTTGCATTCCCTAATCTAATCCAATCCATTCTACATCCTCCTCCGCATTCACCATCTCAGCGTCTCCGTCCATAATCCGCATCTGAGCCTCCTCTCCCTCAACGGGCTTCTGAGACAGATGAAACTCCACCGTGTACCGACTCTCCTCGAAAGCCTTGAAAGCCTCCTGCTGGAACTTTCTCAGACTGCGATCAATCACCCTCAACTCCGCATCCAGCATCACCCGATTGTCCTTGATCCACCGCCCGTGTGCGTCGACGATGGCCTCGACCCACACTTTGCAGATCTGCGTGTGTATGGTCTCTTCGGATTGCTTGGCTACGAGTCGCAGCAAGCGCTGGAGGTAGACGACGGGGATCTCTTTGGCAACGAGGGAGATATCCTCGTAGGGGATTCTCTGGAAGACTTTGCGGAGGAGGAACTGCTCGTTGAGACGGAATGCCATGACCAGTGCCTTTAGGTAATCTTTCTCGCCTTCGAGGACGCTGAGGGTTGCGGCTGGAGTAACTTCGATATCGAGATCGATTGGGTCGAACAGCGGCGCTGTGTCAAGACTGTAGATGAGCAGGCCTTCCGTAGAGGCTGCGCAGAACGATCGGCCTGTAGGTGAGAAGTCCACGTCCGTGACGCGAACTTCAGGCATACGCTTTCGCACTGATGGGTCGCCGCCTCGTGTTGATCCAGGGAGTGTCCTATCGATGCGGTCTTCGAGGTCGGATGCTTCGCCTTGCTCATCTATGAGGCCGAGGGGCCCGGCCTCGGTCATGAGCTTGCTATTGAGGAATTCTTGGGTACCGGATAGGGAGAGGTTAATGCTGACGGTGAACTTCTTCAGGAGTACGAGCGAGGCAACAGAGTACAGACAGATGTATTTGCTGTTACCGCCGGCTAGAACACATTGCCCGTCGGCGCTATATTTGATGCTGCTGAAACTCTTGGTGCCGGCTGCATTGGCTGCCGTGCGGCGGTCGGTGAGTTTGCGGCCTCCCGAGATATCTCTCCTGCCGTCAACTCCGGATTTTTGTTGCGCTTCGGCAACGTTCCAGAATGTAAGTTGACCATCTAGCGTCGATACTGCGAGTTCCAGGGAATCCGGTCGGAACGCTACGTCGAGTACATCAGCTTGGAGCTGTAAATGCTCGCTGGTTTGTGTTCGGTCGAAAATTGACCATATTCTAACGGTATGGTCCCAGCTTCCACTGACAACATTGCCACCATTGGGTGCAAAAGCCAAGGTTGAGACCGGACCCTCGTGGCCGGATAATCGATCCAATAGCTGTCCGGTTTGGACACTCCAAATATGGATATCGAAAGAGTCCAGGGATCCTGCGCACACCACTTCACCGCTGGGATCAACGGCAAGGCAGGAGAAGGACAGTCGGGTCGGCGCCGTAAAGGTTTTGAAACACCTGTAGCGTACCAGATCCCATGCCCTGACCGATCCATCCAGACTTGCTGTAAATAGAACATTTCCCCGTTTCGCAAACTCACAACCAGTCACGCCACTGGTATGTTCTGTGAAAGTTGCTATCGAGAACCCGGAATTGACATCCCAGATTTTGATCTTTCCATCGTCTGCAGCCGTCACAATTCGCTGCCCGTCTGGCGAGTATACCAAGGCATTCATCGAATCGAAGTGTCCCTGTTGCTTCAATATCTGGTTCTCCGATTCCCATTCCCAGACAAGCAATTGGCCCAGTTTCGAAGCACCAAATGCCAGCCACTCGCCCGACTTGTTTATCGTGACAAAATCAATATCGTTCTGTGAGATGCTGAGACTGTGTATCATATTAAATTCCGGCATTTCATAGAGACCGAATATTCCGTTGGAGAATCCGGCCACCAGAAGATTTCTCTCGGGGTGAAATACCACGCAGGTCACTTTCGCGTTATGTTGCAGGAAGAAATGCTTCTTGGTTATCCGCCACCTTGCATGCAAATCGGTGTCCACATCCTCGTCTTCCGAATCTGGCTCCGGCGCGTGGGGGCTCGGTAGGTACTTCCGCTCAAATACAGCTCCGTCTTTGCTGATCGTGTATATTGTTTCCTGGTCCTTGGAAAAATATGCTCCTGCTACCCCTTCCCTGTGTCCACCCAATACTGTCTTGGCAGACACATCCTCCGCTTCCAAACTCCAAATCCTAGCTGTCAAGTCCTTGGAGGAGCTGAGAAAGAAGCGCGAATCGCCAGACCACTCGATAGCTCGGACAACATCTGAGTGACCTGCATACCTCCTATGCAGCACGAACGGCGCAAAGTCCAGCTCCCCGTCCGCATTCTGGTCGGGTGTTGACGGTGTATGCCATACTTCGACATGCCTTTCGAGTCCTACGGCGAAATATCGTCCAGAGGGCGAAAATGCCAACGAAGATACCGCAGACTTGAAGGTAAAGTGGTACAGGATGATTTTTCGTTGAACGTGTGTCAAGATGCCTCGTCCATCTTGGTCGATCGAGAGCAGGAGGTTACCCCGCGGTGTGAGGCCCAGGCGCGCAATGTTTTTCCGATGCGCAAATGGCAGAGTATGTGATTTATTGCTGTAGATGCATTAGTACTTGGGAGTTCGAAGATAGGGTGGGCGCGGACTTGACCAAATCGAAAACAGTTACTCGATTTCCAACGGGGGAGAAGAGAAGCGTTCCATCAGGACTGAACAGCAGGTTGCCCTGGCTATACACAGTCCCTAGCAGATTGGAGAACTAAGTTACAATCAGCAAAATAACTGGAATACTTTCGCAATATCTCGCACCTTGAACTCCGTCTTCATTGTCACCGCTGAATGGGCATTATGGATGTTGATTGATGCCGAATGCTGGCGTATTTTTTTTATCGCTATCGTCAGGGTAAATTTTAGCGGTAAAGGACGGCAGAACTTGTATCTGTGGACTAGCATGGCGCTACTAGGCTTTCGTACAGGTCCACTGGGTTGCTTCAGGGAATTCAGGGGGAGTCGAAATTGTCCATCAACACCGACACTATCTCCTCCACCTTCCTCCACCCGACTCCTCCTCCTCGATACCCACGAACCCCAACGCCGAAAATCCAAACCACCGGCCTCCTCGTAAACAATGGCGCCCCCATCTACTGAAAGCGCATCTCCGATTGGAATCGCAAAGTAAGTGTACACCTATCCGCCGCGGATCCTGCTCTTAACAATACACACACAGCCTTCCTAATCAGCGTCACAAAATCGTCGCCAAACGTGGAGCTGCTTTCACTCTTATGGTCGCCGGCGAGTCTGGTCTTGGAAAATCAACATGGATTAACACAGCACGTTCAACCCCCCTCTTGCATCTTTCACGCTGCTAAAACCCTAGAAGCTGTTTTCCACCACGATCAAAAACTACGCAGATCACAAGCGGAGACACGCGAAGCAAGTGGACAAGACCGTCGAGATTGAGATTACAAAGGCTGAGCTCGAAGAGAAGTTCTTCAAAGGTATGCGCCGCGGGTACGATAGCTACTGCCAATCACTGACAACCCTCAGTCCGTTTGACCGTTATCGACACTCCAGGCTTTGGTGACTACGTTAACAATCGCGACTCTTGGATGCCTATTATCGAATTCCTAGATGACCAGCATGAGTCCTACATGTTGCAAGAGCAACAACCCCGCCGTGTCGATAAGATTGATCTCCGAGTTCACGCATGCCTATACTTCATCAGACCGACCGGACACACCCTGAAGCCGTTAGACATTGAGGTTATGAAGAGATTGAGCTCCAGAGTCAACTTGATCCCTGTTGTCGCAAAAGCGGATACGCTTAGCCCTATTGACTTGGCCCGCTTCAAGCAAAGAGTATGTGCTCCAATGGGTTAGTAGCCTTCGTTCTGATGCTTAAGACTGATTTATTTGCTACAGATCCGCGCTGTTATTGAAGCACAAGGAATCAAGATTTACACACCTCCCATCGAAGAGGACGATGAAGCCGCCGCCCAACACGCCCGTAGTCTCATGGCCGCTATGCCTTTCGCTGTCATCGGCTCCGAGAAAGACGTCAAGACCTCCGACGGCCGTATCGTCAAAGGCCGCCAATACTCTTGGGGAGTCGCCGAAGTTGAGAACGAGGACCACTGTGACTTCAAGAAGCTGCGCTCGATTCTCATCCGCACGCATATGCTGGACCTAATCCACACCACCGAGGAAGCCCACTACGAAGCCTACCGGGCCCAGCAGATGGAGACGCGCAAGTTCGGCGAGGCCCGCCCCCGCAAGCTCGACAACCCGAAGTTCAAGGAGGAGGAGGAGAGCCTGCGCAAGCGCTTCACGGAGCAGGTCAAGATCGAGGAGCACCGCTTCAGACAGTGGGAGCAGAAGCTGATCAGTGAGCGTGATCGCCTGAATAAGGATTTGGAGAGTACGCACGCGGCGATCAAGTCGTTGGAGGGCGAGCTGGAGCAGATGCAGGGAAGCGCTGTTCGATCCCACGGTCGTCGCTAGGATACTGGTCGAGGTGATAGGCAATAATACCATGCATGGCGTCTGATTCGAAGGAGTTATTTCTATGGGCTTCAGCAAAATGGATGGACGGGCCTGGGAAGGATGTACGTTGAGTGTGGTGAGCAGGTCATGTAATACACGCTTTTACTTCCTCGCTGCTGGTATTCATTGGGACAGAAAGTAGCTTAATTCCAAAATAGCTGGTAGCTGGTAGCTGGCCAGTCAATGGGGGGCTTCTTCCCCTACTTTTTAAACTAGGTTCGGCCACGATGTAATTCATGCTTCTCCCTCAAGTGTACGTGGATTGCTGTTTCACTTGACATAAACTGCGTGAATGTTTCCTTGTTGTAACGTTCCTTCCCTGGATGGCTCCACCAGACCTTACCATCAGCTTCAACCATGCATCAAACACAGCCAGCTGCTCAGAGAGCAAACGATCAACCCTACCTTCACGACGCGTGATATAAACACTTATACTTTCTTCCTAGAGGCTGAACTTGAAAACAAACAGCCGGCCGGGTATCTATCTCGAATGACCATTCAAAAAGGCTAGCAAAGAACTACACGGCATCCATACTCGCCCGCATGGTCAGCTGCTCGTTCTTGTTCCCCAACTTGCTAATCTGCAGGAAGGCGTCGGTGCCGTATCCCTCCAGACTATGCACCTCCAACTGGCCGGCCCAGTACTCGGCGTAGACCCTGCTTAGCGGCAGGCCCATGCCCAGGCGCAGGTTTGGAGGGCGGCTGCTTAATGAGCTTAGGGAATTATCATGGCCAGATATGGGTCGAGGGGGCTCTTCCGTTTTCTGCTGTTTGGTTTGGGAGGGTGGAGCAGAGGAAGGGGGAGGAGGAAAAGAAGAAGAAGAAGAGGAAGAAGAAGAAGAAGAGAGGGGAGGTTCCGACGAGACGCGCAGCTCCTGCAGCGTCGCCGCCATCTTCGGCACGCCTTTCAGGTTCTCCAGCCGCTGCGACGACCGCGGCCCTTTACTGAAGCTCCACAGATGCGGCAGGATCTCTTTCGGGATCCCGCCTCCCTGATCGCTCACCCGGATGATCACATGCTGGGGCGCCTCACAAACTGTGACTTCGATCGGCGGGGGCTTGTTGTCGATCCAGCTTTTCGGGTGGTGCTTTGCTCGCTCGACAGTCGCTTGCATGCTGTTGCGGAGGAGCTCGCCGATAATGTACTCTAGGTGCGAGAGGATGTAGGGAAAAGTGGCGGTTAGGTGGCCGGTGAGGTTTATGGGGGGGAGGGGGGTCGAGGAGCCGTAAGTGGAGGCGCAAAGGAAGCGGGTGGCCGAGAAGCAGCGGGAGACTACTTCCGCTGCGGAGCATTTGAGGAAGACTTCGCCGACAAAGTCGGTTTGGGTGGTGGTTGTGGGCGTGGGAGAGTCGGGGAAGTGCCAGGGAGAGTGGAAGGTTTCGGTTAGGGCGAGGTGCTGCTCTGCTATGACCCGGCGGGAGATGCGCTTGGTCACTTGTCAGCTTGGTTACCCCCCAATACAATGAAGGAGGCCAATAAGTGAGAGGTGGGAGGGGAAGGGTATTTACGGAGCGTAAGATGGTATTCATGAACTTATCCATCTCCTCCGGCCTCATCAAGTCTCTGCATTCCAAGACGCCCATAGCCAGTTTCGGGATCACAGTCAAGTGTTCTTGAAGAGTCTGGCTGATCGTCTTGCAGAACTTCTCGTTGTCTTCCAGGGTCTTGATCTCGCGGACGCGGCGAAGCGATTCAAAGGCTTTGTAGTAGAGCTCGTAGACTTGGCTGACGTGCGGGTTTGTCACCACGACGTAGGGGAGTGTTTGCATGTCTCTGATCCGGTGGGCCAGCCTGTTCCTCTTAGCTGTTGTTATCGAATGTAGGATTGGGGGGGAGATACCGAGTGGGCAGCTCTGTTCGTACATAGTTCGCAGAGCTTAGAAGCCGAGCCTCAGTAAGAGAACGGCCGAAGACCATAAGCTGTCGAAGACTTATTGGTCTTGCCTCCTTTCCTACCCATCTAGGAATTCCTATCAGCAAATCACTCCTCGACTCTAGGTGAGAAAAAGCTCACTCGTCTAAAGGCGACGCCGGTCTCCACGGCGGCACATTGTGCAACCTCGCTTGTGCTGTAATCATCGAGCGGTATTGCTTGTGCTGGTGCTGGTGCTGGTGCTGGCGCTTGTCCCATGCGGCTATCCTCGTCGTCAACCTGACGGTCTGGGGCCCATATTGCGACCAGGATCGCAGCATGCTGGCGGTTCCATGTGCGGTGGAGAGAAAATACAATGCGCAGGCTGGCTGGTTATGGGAGAGTTGCTAGGGACCTGAGGATCCTGAGGATGGGGCTGTGGGGTTGTGGAGTTGTGAACTTGAGAAAGTGAGGGGTGCAGATGTGCAGATGTGCAGATGCACGATGTTATGTTGCGGTGACATGCAGAGACGGAGCTAGCGACCGATCATCCCTTTAAGAAATCGAAGAGAAGCAGTATGGATTGAGGGAATGCAGTTTGTTAATCGAGCACTTTCTGCGCATGATGGCTGGCTTTGAAAAGTGTGAAAGTGATGTCGGGAGAAATAATAACAAGGGCATGTTGGGCAGCTCCTGCATAATACATATGCGATTTGGAAGCTCTGAATCGTGATCGAAGGTTGCGATTCGGTGTTTGACAACTAATCCGTACGATAATGATTCGTAGAGTACAATGATGATTGTGGTTTAGGACTTTGTGTATTCTGCTATTCTGCTATTCCGCTATTCCATTATTCCACCATTCCGCTATTCCGCTATGCCACTACCGTGTTCCACTGTTCCACTGTTCCACTATTCCGCTATTCCGCTATTCTACTTTCGCAATCTTTACTTTCGTATCATCCATAATCGAAAACAGTCCGGGCATATTTGTCGGATAGATAACTCGATATTGATTTCCAGCCATAAACACTCCCCAGAGAAATTAGGTATATGTCACAGGATTTGATTCTGCGCCCAAAGAGCGATGCCGGTGTGGAACGGCGGGGCGCACCGCCTTGTCGATAAGTTAAATCAGACCTATCGCTTGAACGTCGGAACTCTGTAAGCTACCGGTACCTAGGTACCTAGGTACCTACGTAACGCCTGGTCTCACCGAATCACTGAACTTCATACCTACCTCCCTATGACTTTCCAACCACCCCAGCCTCCTTCAGTGTTCCGCCCGTCACATTTCGTCTGATCTATTTCATCATGAGTTCCGAAACTCCAGCCGTCACGCCCGCACCCGCACCCGCACCTGCACCTGCACCCGCAGTCACCGAGCCAAATGCCGGTCTAGAGAAAAAGATTGAAGCTATTGATCCTGCCGCGGCTGCCGCGGCAGAGAAACCCGAAGCTGTAGAAGCTCCCGTCGTAGCTCCCGCCGGAGCTCCAGCCGTAGCCCCGGCCGCAGCTCCAGCTGCCCCTGCTGAAGAGGAGAAGGCCGCAGCGGCGGCACCTGTCGAAGAAAAGAAACCCGAGACCGAGACCGAGGCCTCGTCCGCTGTCCTCCCCCCCGACGGGGCAAAGGAAGACGCTCCTGCCGAAGCGAAGAGGACTCAAAACGTGACTCCGCTTGAGCTGTTCTTGGCCGATCTTCCCGCGGTCATCAAGGAGGCTGACCATGGCGAGATGTGGGGTGTGGAGCTTGAGGACGCTGCGCATGTCCCGACGACGATCGTGTTGGAGAAGTTCCTGAGGGCCAATTCCAAGGACGTGGTGAAGGCCAAGGCTCAGCTGGCCGAGGCGCTGAAGTGGAGGAAGAAGATGGATCCGGCGCAGCTGCTTGCTGACTTTCGGTTTGACAAGAGCAAGTTCGGAGGGATGGGGTTTGTAACTGTGTATCCGGAGACGGCAGCTCATGCGAAGGAGATTGTTACGTGGAATATCTACGGCGCAGTCAAGGACAACAAGGCTACCTTTGGCAATGTCGAGGAGTAAGTCGCTTGCCATTTTCATCATCATTATTATTATTATTATTATTTTTTTTTCTATTTTTTTTTTTTTTTTTTTCATTCGTATGACCCTGACAATTGCAGATTCATCAAGTGGCGCGCAGCACTCATGGAGCTCTCGGTCAGGGAACTCGACCTGGCTTCAGCGACTGAGCCCATTCCCATGGACGGAACTGATCCGTACCGCATGACTCAGGTGCACGACTATTTCAACGCCAGCTTTCTGCGTATGGATCCTGCCATCAAAGCCGCAAGCAAGGAGACCATCACCACCTTCAGCATGGCGTACCCCGAACTTCTGAAGGAGAAGTTCTTCGTGAATGTGCCGTTGGTTATGGGCTGGGTCTTTACGGCCATGAAGCTGTTCTTGAGCCCTGACACGGTGAAGAAGTTCCATCCCTTGGCCTACGGCAAGAGTCTGGCTGGTGAGCTGAAGTCTTTCGGCGCCGAGTTACCCGCGGAGTATGGTGGGAAGGGCAAGAGTATTCAGGAGGGCTTGACGGTCCGGTATGCTAGCGAGCCTGCCACGCCGGCTGCTGCTCAGGCTGAAGCTGCTGGTCCTGTTCCCACGAAGGATGAGAGTGCTCCGTAAGTAGGGAGAGAGAGGGGCTATACACTGGAAGAGAGAGGGTAGACCTGGTTGTATGTAGTACCGCTGGTGCTGTTTGTGTTTGAGGTTTGGATATCCCTGTCTGTGTACTCTGTCCTTGCTGGTCATGGGCGTCTTGCTTTCTGACCTGATACCGATGCCTCTAGATTCTGGACTCGGTGGGGCGTTCTGTTGTTCATCTGGTGATGGTATAGGTGAGGAGTGAAGAAAATAGCTGGTTGCACTTGACCTCAAACCTTGCATCGGTACCACTTCTACGCCTAGGCCATGAACCCGGGATTATGTTCGCGGTGATGACTACGGCGAAGGGAGAGGGAGAGGGAGAGAGAGAGAGAGAGAGAGAGATCATGTCAAACAGAATTGTCCATCGCTGGGCTAAAACGGGGTGCCGGCAGCCTTCTCTGGGCGTCCGTCAGCCTTGCCCTGCCTTGCCCTGCCCCGGTGGTGTGGGTAGCTAGGTAGCTCCTCAGTCACTCACATGGCTTTGCACAAGCAAATGAATGAAGGTATTTACTTGCCAATTGTAAACAGAAGCCGGTTTTGGAATGATTCCCAAGTCAGTCACACTCTGGAGAGCCAGTCGATTCACATGACATGATTCGCGGGCATATACCTATTCTTTTGCTGATTGATGACTTATTACAAAGCCTGGATGACGTCCCACCTCCCACCACCCACCACCCACCACCCACCACCCACCAATCGTGGCCCGTCAAAGTACTACGGAGCACGTCACCCACACTTCACCCACACTTCACCCACACTTCACCCACAGCCGAGACGACCCCCATCTACTTGGCTGATGAGGGATTCTTGCCTGGCCTTTCGTAGCTACCGACCTACACCACCTACCTACCGTACTGACACAGACACAGTACAGTTATTACCTACCCGTACACTCGACTCGACTCGACTCGACTCGACTCGACTCGACTCGACTCGACTCGCCCCCCAACCCTACCTAACCTACGGCCCTCCCCAACCTACGGCCCTTCCTTCCATACTCTGGCCAGACTGCGCCTGCGCCTGTACCTGTACCGGTACCTGTACCTGTACCTGTCCCTGTTGTACCTGCTGTACCTGCTGTACTTGTCCCTGTGCCCGTACCCGTACCCGCACAGTAACTGACTGCAGCTGCGACTCAACCACAACTTCGTTTTGGGAAGGGGTCCTCCTCGTCTTTGTATTGCATCGCACATCGCACTTTGCACTTTGCACTTCGCACTTCGCACTTCGCACTTTCTCCCACCGCAACTATGAATCCTGTAGGTTTCTTGCCCCCTCCTCTCCCCTCGTCGACTCTCCTCTCCAGCTCTAGCTACACCTCCACCTCTACCTCCACCTCTACCTCTACCTCTACCTCTACCTCTACCTCTACCTCTACCTCTACCTTCGCATCCAAAACCGTATCCGCATCTGCCTCCCACATCGGAAAGCCTGCGCCACATCTGATCCCTCCTCCTCCTCCTCCTCCTCTTGCTGAGCCGGCGCAACATGATTTCCCTCGAGGAAGTCGACAGCAACCCGAGCTCCCCTTCTCCTCCCTCGTCTTCGTCTTCGTCTTCGTCCTCTTCACGTCGCTCCGGAAACTTAGGTTGCGCGATCAGCCCCCCGGAATTCTTTTCGGTGCTCCCATCATCGATCCCTTTGCACCCCAGAGCTGACCGAGATGGCCGACAGATCTTTAACGACATAGAGTCTTCTAATGACATTCTGCTCGACTCGGACGAATTTGGCAACAATGTGGACGGCGAGAACGATGGCGATGTGGCCATCATCGATCCCGAAGATGACGCCCCTCGCGCCGACAACTGTATGTTCCTCTGTCCATGGCATCTAGTGGCCGCCGCAGTGGCAGAGGGCTAACTCCTGCACAGTCGAGGCTATGAAAGAACTTGTTCTCACACCCCTCCCCGAACTCCCCCCAACACGCGAAATCGTGGTCGATACGTGGGATATAACAGACTGGAAAAGCCTGCCTCGGAGGTCGCATGGCCCGGTATTCATGGCGGGTGGACATCCTTGGTAAGCTTCAGCGGATGTGCGCCAGCGACTGGAGCTCCGTCGTAGCTAATGATGCCAGGCGCGTGCTCATGTTCCCAACCGGAAATAACGTCGATCATGCGTCTTTCTACCTCGAACAGGGCTACCCGGAAGGCCAACTCCCGGAGAACTTCGCATGCTGTGTTCAATTTGCCCTCGTACTGTGGAATCCGGACCACCCACACGTCTTCCAGACACATACTGCTCACCACCGCTTCACGAAGGAGGAGGGCGACTGGGGCTTCACACGCTTCGTGGAGATCAGAAAGCTGTGGCAGCAGCCGTGGGATGCGTCGGGAGTCTGCTTGGCCGATGGCCAGAAAGCCAAAATGACGGCGTATGTCAAAATCGTCGAGGACGAGACGGGCGTGCTGTGGCACAACTTCAACAGCTATGACTCGAAGCAAGAGACTGGATTCGTTGGACTCAAGAACCAGGGAGCAACTTGCTACCTTAACTCACTGATACAATCCTTGTATTTCACCAATGCGTTCAGAAAGGTACATGCCCACACCCAACTTCTGACCTCCCCATGCTGACGGGTCAAGGCTGTCTACCAAATACCTACACAAAACGAAGAAGCCCTCACAAACAGTGCATATACACTCCAGCGCCTCTTCTACCAACTCCAAAGCTCCACGCAGGCTGTGTCGACCAATGAACTCACAAGATCCTTTGGGTGGGAGACCAAGCATATATTCGAACAGCAGGATGTGCAAGAACTCTCGAGGAAACTCATGGAACGGATGGAGGAGAAGATGAAAGGTACCGAAGCGGAGAATGTGTTGCCGAGATTGTTTTGTGGAAAGGTCCGGACCTACATCTCGTGTATCAATGTTGACTACGAGTCTCGCCGCGTTGAGGACTACTGGGATATCCAACTGAACGTCAGCGGAAACAAAGACATCGAAGCTAGCTTCAAAGACTACATCCAAGTTGAGCTCATGGATGGCGAGAACCAGTATATGGCTGGGGATACGTACAAGCTGCAGGACGCCAAGAAGGGTGTGATCTTCGAGACCTTCCCGGAAGTGCTGCATTTACAGCTGAAGCGCTTCCAGTACGACATCGACCGCGACGCCATGATGAAGATCAACGACCGCTACGAGTTCCCAGAGACATTTGATGCCGCTCCGTTCTTGTCTGATGATGCCGACAGGTCGGAATCTTACGTCTATCAACTCCATGGCGTGCTCGTACACAGCGGAGACTTGAATGCCGGGCACTACTACGCTTTCATCAAGCCCAATCCGGACGGGTGGTTCTACAAGTACGATGATGATCGGGTCACGAAGGCGACCCTACGAGAGGTCTTGGAAGACAACTATGGGGGCGAATACCCCATCCACAACGGCATGAAAGCAAGATCCAAACCTCTCATGCGCCAGAACAGTGCATACATGTTGGTGTACATCCGTCAAACACGCGTGCACGATGTACTACTACCGGTCACGGGGGATGACGTCCCGAACCATCTGCAAAAGAGACTCGATGAGGAGGCTGCAAAACGCCAGGCCCTTAAAAAAGAAAGAGAAGAGGCGCACTTGTACCTCAACGTCAGAGTCATCACGGATGAGACTTTCCTGCGCCATGGTGGCACCGACTTGACGTGCTTCGATCGTTCACCCCTTGAGGACCCGGCTGCTGCCAAGCAATTCCGATACCTCAGAAAAAATACCTTGAGAGATCTAGCCATGACAGTCGCTGCCGATGCCAAGGTTGAAGCTCGGAGGATTCGCTTCTGGGGGATGGTCAACAGACAAAATAAGACAGTCCGCCCCGACACACCGTTCAACGATATGGACATGAGCGTTGAGGACGCCTATCAACGGATGTCTGGCAACAAAGGGGCTGACATGCGACTTTGGGCAGAACTTGCCGAAGAGCTGAATAGTGAAGGAGAGCCGATATGGCCGTCCAGCCCGGGTGTCCAGGGCTCGCCCAAGAACGATCTGATTGTCTTGTTTCTGAAAGAATTCAACGTCGAGCGTCAGACACTTTTCGGAGTGGGATATATTTACATCAGTCGGGAGAAGAAGGTCGAAGACCTCGTACCGGCTATCTTGAAGAAAATGCGCTGGCCTGACAAGATGGCGAACGGCGAGAAAGTGCAGTTGAAGTTATTCGAGGTAGGAGATCGTCCGGGCCCATCACGTGTAATTTCCTAACCACCAAGCAGGAAATCAAGCCGTCTATGATCGAACCAATGAAAGCCAAGCAGTCTCTGAAAGCTGCAGAGCTCCAAGACGGAGATATCGTGTGCTTCCAATTGAGCACGAAATCGGATACCGACTCGTCAGTCCAGGGTCTCTCGCAACAGTTGACGCTTACTGACCTCGACAGGGGTCATTCCATCACGTCGTCCGAAAGAAATTCAGCGGGTTCACCAGCCCGTGGCGATCTGTCCACGGTGTCTGACAGAAGCCCATCGGGCTTGGCCAGATTACCATCTGTCTTCTCCACTATGACCTCGCCGAACAAATCCGATGCAAACTCAATGATAACATCAGAGTCACCGTCTGAACAAACCTCGATAAGCACCGATGCGAACTCGGCCATTTCCTTGGAGGCATCGCCCGAACGTACCCCCAAGTCGTCAAGACAGTATTCTGACAGGATCGATGACGCCCGCGACTTCTATGACTTCCTTCTCCACAGACGCGAAGTCAAATTCTACCCCAACACGGCGCGGGACACGAGTGCTGAGATTGAGCCCTTCCCTCTCGTCCTTAGCTCGAAGACTAGTTACGATCAGATAGCCTCAAGGGTCGGCGAACACCTCGGTCTCGATCCCACTCATCTCAGATTTTGGACGATCAATGCAACCACTGGCAAACCGAAAACAGCTGTCAAACGCAGCGTGACCCAAACCCTGCAGACGATACTCAGCCCCCCTTACAGCACCTACAGCAACAACAACCAACGGAACGACTCTCTGTTTTTCGAGATTCTGGACATGAGTCTTTCGGAACTTGATACCAAGAGATCCGTCAAGATTGCTTGGATAAGCGAAGGAATAACCAAGACGGACGTCTACGACCTTCTCGTCCCCAAGAACGGAACCATTGAGGATCTCGCCACTGCTCTCGTCAAGAAGGCTGAGATAGAGGACGAAGTCAAGGGTGGTCCGATCCGATTCTGGGAGGTTCACAGTAACAAGATTCACAAGGAACTCAATCGAGAGTCGGGTGTCGTCAGTATTAACGAGTATGCGAATGTAATTGCGGAGAGAATTCCTGAGGACGATGTCGACGCCGACGAGACATCGGAGTTCATGATGGCATTCCATTTTCAGACCGAACCCAACAAGACCCACGGCGTCCCATTCAAATTCCGTCTCATTCCGAATGAGCCGTTTTCGGAAACAAAGAAGCGTCTGGAGAAGCGGACAGGTATGAAGGGCAAGAACTTTGAGAAGATCAAGTTTGCAGTGGTCAAGCGGGCTCATTATTCCAAGCCCCAGTATCTCACCGATGGTACGTCTTGGTCGACATACCCTCTCCCTCGTATCGCATGCTGACATATTTCAAGAAATGATCTTGGACGAAATAGTCACCTCTGTGGATGACTTACTCGGCTTAGACCACGTCGATCGAACGCGCGCAATCCGAAATGGCGGGCATGACTTATTCTTGAAGTAGATCTTCTTCCTCATCTTTCGTTACATCTTTGATGCAGCCACCGGGCGCTGCCATTCACGCATATTTTTTTGGGACCGGAGGACCGGGGTTTTGTATGCTATTGTTAGAGAGGTCCACGACACATTGGACTTTGGCGCTACGGTGGTTAAATGAGCGTTTGATATGCGAACTCATACCTTCAATTCTTACTCTTGACTTTTGATCTTGAGGGTGGCGGGGATGGACTGGGTAGACGGGCCTCGCATATGTGGCATGGGGTGGATTCATGAGGGGTTACAGGGGCAGTGGAGACGTGGAGTGCAGAGGGTGGAGAGAGTGGAGAGAAGAGAGGAAAAAGAGGCGATGCAATATTACATACTGAACGTAATAGCCGTTTCTTGGTTGCTGGTATGCCTGCTATATGTCTGCTGGTATGTGAGAATGTGTGTGTGTGTATGTTGTAGCGGAAGCTTTGCAGCATGCTGGCCGGGACTGAATGACAATTTATCAGAGTCTTATTCATGCATAGTAAGACTTTTATTCTTCTTCCTCCTCCTCCTCTTTTTCTCCTCCTCCTCCTCTTTTTCTCCTCCTCCTCCTCCTCCTCCTTAACGATAACCACCACATCACCACATCACCACGAAGCAGGCGGGGGGAGGAGGGTCGACGCTTCCTGCCTGCCTGACTGCCTGCCTGCCTGCCTGCCTGGCTGGCTGTATATATATACGTAAACACATCCTCGTCACCCATGTAAACAGAAGAGGAAAGGAGGTTGGTTGGTGGCCATCTAGCTCTCGCTCCCTCTAGCTCTAGCTCCCTCTAGCTCCCTCTAGCTCTAGCTCTGACGTACTAGCATCATCGTCGGTTTCCCTAAATTCTCATCCGAAAGAATTGACCCGACTTGCTGCGCCAGGTCCGGGAAAATTTTTTTACAAGATTAAAACCAAGGTAGCTGACGGTTATACTTGAATTTTTGGAATTTGGGAAATTTTGGGAGATTTGGGAAATTTTGGGAGAATTGGGAGATTTTGAGAGAAGGGAGATTTGGGAGATTTGGAATTTTAAAAGAAGGGAAAAAGGGAAGAAGGGAAAAAGGGAAAAAGGGAAAAAGGGAAAAAGGGAAAAAAAGGGAAAAAAAGGGAAAAATAATGAAAAAGGAAAGAAACAAAAAAGGGGAGGTGTATGCCTACCTATCTACCTATTGCAGAAGTAGGGGTAGGAGTAGAAGTTGAATAGAAGTTGAAGTTGAATAGAAGCAGAAGCAGAAGCATCAGCAGAACCAGAAATAGAAGCACGCATAGCCGAGCCGATGAGTTTTGTAGTAAGTAGTGAAGTAGATAGAGAGATGATGGTCTTGAGCTTTTGCTTCCGTGCGTTGCTCTTCCGGTGACGATGTGCTGTGAGCTGTGATATGGCTGGCACAGGGAAAGGAAAGATAGAGCTAGGAGCGAGAAAGAAGAGAGAAAGAAGAGAGAAGAGAGAAGAGAGAAG